ACATGTCATTTATTTCTGTAATTCTTTTTTCATGACACTAATGTCTGACGCTTTTATCATACTACATTGATCCACTGTGTATTTGCACTCAAGACTTCATGTAGTGCTGTTAACTTCTTTCTTCTTAGAGAGCCTTGGGTCTCCTCTTTTGGACATGTTATACCTAGGATGATTAAAGACAGCCTCATCTTAAATTAAACTGATGTTATTGTCAAAATATATCACAACATTGACCGTGGTTTTCCTCAATTCTTTCAATTTGAAGTAGGGGGTTACTGAGGTAAATCAATTAGACTGGATATGCATTGTCTTGAGAGTTTGCATGACCTCTGGCCCTTTAAGTGAATGTCTAACTCGAGTCACTAGAGTCCTGGAGTAGGAGACTAAGAGGATCTTTACATTTCCAACACGTTCAGTCAGACATGACTAAACGTGCTTTTGCTTGGCATTTAAAACCCATCTAGGTTGACTTAGAAATCAGAACCAGCATTCTGAAGTCTTTTAACTTGAGCCATTGTCTAGGAGGAAGGGGGGGGACATAATGGAGTATATACTGTATATATGTGCGGTCGGTCTAAAAGATTCTCTGATAATTGAATCTACACTCTCCTTTGTCCGGACTTGAAAACATGCTTTTTGTTATCTTGTTTCAGCAACAATGTGTCCACTTATCCATTCTTCCATATCTGCAGGGCAAATTGCAGACTCCCAAAATACTGTTTGGAGAAAAATATCTTTAGTACTACGACACAACATGAAGCGGCTCCTGCAAGTTCTAATGCAAAGTGTAAAAAACCAAACATGAAAGTCTTGGGAAAGAAAAGTGATCTGCTATGAAAATAAGTAACATGAATATAGTCCCTCATGTGGATGCTGCTAGTGCCTCTAAGTTAAACAAGTCCTTGTAGATACATTGTAACCGAATCGATGTACACATTCCTGCCTTCAGGTATCAAATGTTTCTCGTTTGTAATGTCTAAATTGTGTGCTGCACAGGCAGTTGTTGAACACGATTAAAACATCGCCACCATTGTCTCGTGTGCTTCATCAAATTGGGTGTAGCTGCTTCCAGTCGCACAGTGTGCACAATACCAGGAAAAAATATCAACCTGGTGCTTTAAACACGCTCCAACTTTGAATGAGGGGGCTGGAGAAGTTCCCAATGACCCGCCTCGCGTCTCAGATTGCCTTTTATCGTCTGTCCAATCAGGAGCCGGCAAATGCTCGAAAGGGCGTTTCTTCCCCCTATGCTTATGGAGGTGAAGGCCCCTTTGAGGGGGGAGGAAGTTTGAAGACGACCCGCGGGTAACAGGAGTTCCTCACAACTGTTCTTCACTCGGGACAGAAATCTGGAAACTTCTCCAACTCCTCAGGTGTTCTTGCGCTGGGTTCCACTTTCACATCTTCTCAGTGCAAACGTGGAGGATTTAGTTTCCCCTGTCAAATTAAAACTCTGGTGGCTTGGCCGCTTGGTCGGAAGAACCGAGCCGGGCAGTTCGTGCATCCTTTCCGGGAAGAGAGTTGCAGTAACACCGTGGGAGTTTGCAGCAAAAAAAAAAAAAAAACCGCAACCTGGAAGTATTTCTCTTTCAGAGTCTGCGTTTTACTCGCTGGGAGTTTTGCAACTGTTTCTTGTGCGAGAAATGGTTGGCAGGTTAAACTTGCCAAATGTATGTGAAGGAGATCCGCCGGATATGAGCTGCAGGAGTGACAGAGGACTCGACAGCCCGGACTCGGGGTTACCTCCGAGTCCGAGCCCCAGCGGCTGGCTGCTGCCTGTGTGTGCTGAGAAAGCCGGGGTCGTGAGCCCGGTGTGTGAGGACGAGGGGAAGAGCTCCGTGGTAGGTGACACCACTTCATATTTTTTGGGAGGGGGGGCAAGGCAAGGCAGACGAACAAAAACTGCCGCTTTCAAATGCATTTTAATCCCTCGACCCTGCTATTTACAAGTTTAAAAAGCAGACTAAATGCAATTTAGCAAATCATCATTGAAATACATGTTACTGCTACACACAAGTTTGTCTTGCCTGCAAGTCAGGCCCTCCTCATTTGTTTTGTGTGAACACCTGAGACATCTAAGAACGTGCTGCATGTTCTGTGCAGCTGAACAAGTGGCTCACATGGAGCACTGTGCTGGGCCATTTTACAGGGTTGACTTCTTCTGTGTTGTTGTTGTTGTTGTTGTTGTTGACTGGAGGGCTGGTTTTGTCATTGCAGGTTCCAGTTTTACCCTCGGGACCTTTTCAGCAGCTACAACCATCATCCTTTGGGGAAGGCATATCACTTGATCCATTACCGCCAAAGGAAATCAGGTAGGTTGGCTTTGATATGACCCGTTTTAGACCTGCTGCAGGAGTAAAGATATGCAATCACTCCAAAAATGTCTCCGTTTACTTTGCTGTGTACCAAGATAGACAACTGCATCGTGTTTACATGAGCATAGCAAAGTGTGTTGTAGTATGATTTCTGCGGAGTAGTTCTTCCTTAATACAACAAATAAACATTGCCTCCTCCTTAGATACACTTCATCTGTGCACTATGACTCGGACCGCCACTTCATCCAGGGTGTTGCCCTGCAGCCTACAGGTCAGGGCCTTGAGAACTGCAGGCAGACCATCATGGCCATGCCCAATAGCACCTGGCGTCACTACAAGACTCAGCTAGAGTTCCAGCCGCGCCATCGTCTTCAGCACTTCAAAAGTACCACCATCATCTACCCCAAGAAAACCAGCGCCGTCTACACCACAGAGCTGAGCTACGACTGCCAGCGAATATCCAGGCGCTTCCTCTCCAGTGTGGAGCTGGAGGCCGCAGGCCGCAGAGAGATACCTCAGTTAGATAAGGGGACAGCTTGCTGAGGGTTCCTGCCATGACCTCTCTACTGTAGCTCCCCAAGGGCTGGATGCCGTTGACCTGCTGTGTTTGTCTTTTTAATGTTGTGTAGCCTCTAGCCTGTACAGGAAGCACATGTGCTGTGATGTCACAGAAATCAGACAAGACATGGACAAAGTTGGTGAAATATGGATTTGGTGTATTTCTGAATATATTCATAAATCTGCCAGAGGATGATCAGTTAGTTGGAGATTATATTTTATTTTGCAGCTTGTTGGTTCCCAGGGATATGTTCACATTCGATTAGTTTTTATTGACTTTGGAATTGACAGTTGGGGCATAGATGAGGAGAATATTTATTGCCCCCAGCAAAGTCACTCACCAGGTGTCATTGGAAGTTTGCCAAGTTTGCAGACTGATTGGATTTTACTTCCTTAACCCTTTGTTCAGTTACTTTGTTTATATTCACACAGAAATGAGTGCTGTAAAATCTGCGTACTCCAATTAAGGTTTGAAGCATCTAGTGTGTCAAAGAGAAGAAGCAATCCTTTATAGTGCTGGAGTTTGGGCTGCATGTTCACGGGATGCAAGGAAATATATGCAAAACACAGGATTTTGTGTATTTCTGCAACATTAGCACACACAAAGCCTTCTCCAGGAAGTTCTCTCTGGACACTGTTTGAAGGCTGCAGTTCATTATGTAATATGTAAAGATGTAACGACGTAACTTATCTGTTCAGTGTGATGCTAAAAACAAACTGATCATGTGGTCAGTATAGATTTATTTCTGGTGTTGTGTATATTATAAAGTGGATTTGGTTTTTGATATTATTTGCTGGCTTGCTAGTGAAAACCACAAGATGCAGTCCACTGCTTTCACTTTCTTTGGCTGACTTACGTTGACATTTTATTTATTCAGTAAAGTTTTAAGTTCTGAGATTCTATTGGCTGATAAACGGCTTTCCCCACAGCCCAGGGGATGTTTTTTTAGGCCCTTTGTGCCTTGATGATGTATCTATTTCTGTCTGTTTTATTTTTTATTTTTCTAAAAGGCACTTATTTAGTGTCAGTTTGAAATAAAGTGTTTATGAGTCTGACGTGTGTCTTTTATAACGTGGTAAGCCGTGGTCATTTCCACCATAAATAAACTTCTAATACAAAACTTTGATCACAGAAATGTATAGATTATCAAATTTAGTGGACATGTCTCGTGACTTTCTTCCCTTAAAACAGGTAAAAGCAGAGAACAGAGGTGGAAGATCAATAAGTGTTTACACTGTACTTAAGAATACATTTGGAGGTTTTTCATGCTTTGAGCAGAGAACATTGAGCCAACATATGTATTGAAATCTTATCAAGTGAAACTGAATAAATATAGTTAGGTGAAGGATCTATCAGTCTGTCCTAATGGTTAATAATGTGTTTTCTCTGGTTCTGAGTGAATTGTCACTTTTTCAGGAGACGTCATAAATTGAGACTTTCTTCATTTGTGCTGCTTCAGTGCCCTCTTGTGGCCAAGGAGGGAACATGCAGTTTGCCAAACATGATCAGTACATGGTACATGAAGAGCAGAGTCATAGAAAACATTTCAGAAAGACAATTTTGTGAACGATTCATAAAAGGTATCTTTAGATAAACTAATAATTTGCGCTGAATCTGTGGCATTATATTTGTCCATCTTGTCTATCTTATCTGTTCCCTACATTCATGCGTGATAATCTTCAGGGTGAAATAGGTGATTGGTGCTCTAAATGTAAAAATAATTGGTTATAACATATGTTTACTGTTTCAATCAAACCAGAGACGCCATTGTATACGACATTGAGAGTGTTTGTATCTCCTCTGAATTCAGCCTAATTTTTGGCCAGATATTGTAATAACAAAAGCTGAACGCAGTATTCTGAGAATTGAAGGCTGAAGTTTACTCTTTTACCACAGACCCTGAAGGCAGCAAAGCATAAGAACCGGTCTGACGTAGGCAAGGGACCTTTGAATCCTGGACGTCGTCGAACATAGTTTTTAAAACTTAAACTTAAAACAAATGTATTTCCTTGTCCAATCTACTGTGCTTGGAGCATTTCATTGCTCGAAGGTTTTTGGATATTTAAAAAAAACAAAAAAACATAAACTGCCTTGTATGACGTATGAGTTCAGAGTTCAAACACGCCCACTTTTTCCCGCATGGTACATACTGAATGATGAATGTGTACAGTCGTTGTTCACAAATAAACTAGAGATATCTATGTGTACCTAACAGGGACAGTGTGGCAGTGTAAGATGTATACCGAGGTTGTTCTCATCTGTTATGTCAAATAGATGTCAGACGACGGAACCGCAGACGAAACTCTACTCTTGGACAGGAAGCTCATTAGCTTGCTGGCTAGCTGGCTAGCTGTTTTAACTTCCCTCTAAATAATGAAGACTTCCAACAGCAATGCCACTATAATGGACATGTTTGAAAAGGGAAAAGTCCTGAAAATATGTGCGCCAATGGTTCGATATTCAAAGTAAGTGGATATATTGTTTTAGTCCAACACTGGTGGCTGTGACGTGTACGGTTCCAAAAAAGACACAAATAAACAAAACAGGAGGTTTTCTGTTTGTTTGTTGTTGTCTCTGTCATCTCTGTTTAATATGTCCTTATCGCCTGTTGTCTTGTGTTGTGTTTGTGTTGTTTGTCTGTGTTGTGTTGTCTTGTTTGTCTCTGTTGTGTTGTCTTGTTTGTCTGTGTTGTGTTGTCTTGTTTGTTTGTCTGTGTTGTGTTGTCTTGTTTGTCTGTGTTGTGTTTGTGTTGTTTGTCTGTGTTGTGTTGTCTTGTTTGTCTGTGTTGTGTTGTCTTGTTTGTCTGTGTTGTGTTTGTGTTGTTTGTCTGTGTTGTGTTGTCTTGTTTGTCTGTGTTGTGTTTGTGTTGTTTGTCTGTGTTGTGTTGTCTTGTTTGTCTGTGTTGTGTTTGTGTTGTTTGTCTGTGTTGTGTTGTCTTGTTTGTCTGTGTTGTGTTGTCTTGTTTGTCTGTGTTGTGTTTGTGTTGTTAGACTGTGTTGTGTTGTGTTTGTCTTGTTTGTCTGTGTTGTGTTTGTGTTGTTAGATTGTGTTGTTTTGTTGTGTTTGTGTTGTGTTGTTTGTCTGTGTTGTGTTGTGTTGTTTCTCTGTGTTTTGTTGTGTTGTTTCTCTGTGTCTTGTTGTATTGTTTGTCTCTGTGTTTTGTTGTGTTGTTTGTCTCTGTGTTTTGTTGTGTTGTTTGTCTCTGTGTCTTGTTGTGTTGTTTGTCTCTGTGTTTTGTTGTGTTGTTTGTCTCTGTGTTTTGTTGTGTTGTTTGTCTCTGTGTTTTGTTGTGTTGTGTTGTTTCTGTGTCTTGTTGTCTTGTTTGTCTGTGTCTTGTTGTCTTGTTTGTCTGTGTCTTGTTGTCTTGTTTGTCTGTGTCGTTGTGTTAGACTGTGTTGTTCTGATGTTCTATTTTCACTGTCTTTCTGTTGTGTTGTTTGCTGTTGCTTGCTAGTGAAAACCACAAGATGCAGTCCACTGCTTTCACTTTCTTTGGCTGACTTACGTTGACATTTTATTTATTCAGTAAAGTTTTAAGTTCTGAGATTCTATTGGCTGATAAACGGCTTTCCCCACAGCCCAGGAGACGTTTTTTAGGCCCTTTGTGCCTTGATGATGTATCTATTTCTGTCTGTTTTTTTATTTTTTATAAAAGTCTGTGTCTGTGTTTTTATGATAAACAAAACGTTAATTTGGATATTAACCTTTAGGCCCCTTGTCCATCTTGCATTTTTTTTCTGAGCGCCAGCGTCTTTTCTCAATTGTTTTCAATGAGTAGACGGCGTTCACCGCAGGTGGAAGCTTCCTGTAGAAGAAGCGTAGCATTCAGTATCTTTTTTCCCCCGAGCGCTCCGTCTGTTTTGTGCGGACGCTCCGAGTTTTAAGTTGAAAATCTTTCACTTAATTTACAACTGAAGGTAATTGTGTGTCTTTTGCTCACTTAACTCAATACAGTTTTTTTTCCCCTATAGGCTTGCATTTAGGTCCTTAGTGAGAAAATACGACTGTGACATCTGCTTCACCCCGATGATAGTTGCTGCTGATTTCTTAAGATCTGTCAAAGCCAGAGACAGTGAATTCACCACCAATCAGAGTGAGTGGCTTTATATTGCAAAATAAGCTGTGATACTATTCTGCCGAAGTGTCTTCTTTTTCCACCGCCTGTAATGCACGGCATGTTTAGAAAATGTGTCAATCTTTACAGCCGATGATGTGTTTCATATAGTTAAACTTCCATATTGTCAAAATCTTGAGAGATAATATGACTTTTCAAGTTTTGATTTCTATTGGATTTTTGTTTTTTCTTGCTCCAGGTGACCGGCCCCTGATAGTGCAGTTTGCTGCCCATGATGCCCAGTCTCTAGCCGATGCAGCCTCTGTAGTAGCACCTTTTTCAGACGGCGTTGACCTAAACTGTGGCTGTCCACAAAGGTAGAACAACTGACTGTAGTCCTCAAACCGCTTTTCTCTTTTTATAACACTGTAATACCACCATTATATTTAAGGATTTAAAGTATGTTAGACGTAGTCGCTTCTAATGATAAGCGTTGTTTGTTTGTTTGATTTCAGATGGGCCATGTCAGCTGGGTACGGTGCATGCCTCATCAACAAGCCTGAACTTGTGAAAGACATGGTCAGAACTGTCAGAAACCAAGTGGATAATCCTAACTATACAGCATCCATTAAAATAAGGTAAAAAAAAAAAAACCTTGAATGAGTTTTACTTAAAAAAAGAAGAATCTCTGAGGCATATTATTAGCTGACATTAGCTCATTGGAGATATTGTATATCACTATACATCCACAGAGGAATGGCTGAAAAGTCATGTCGGGGACAGTAATGATAAACCATGTTTATGGTCATTCAGAAATATGGTGACCATTACAAAAAGTATTAACAAGTGTATTTAAAGTCTTCAAATTTCCCACTCAGCATTACAACATAAAAAAAGTGATCTAGACGATATCTCCCAAATATAAATGTCATGTTTTAATCCTTAAAGCTCAGCAACGATCTGTGTTGGAATGAACAGAGGGAAAATGAATATAAAATGAATCTCTCCCACAGAATTCACAAGGACCTGAGGCAGACTGTGGATCTGTGCCAGAAGGCTGAATCAGCCGGCGTGTCATGGATAACAGTCCACGGTCGTACGTCAGAAGAACGCCACCAGCCCGTCCATTATGATGCCATAAAAACAATCAAAGACAGTGTCTCTGTCCCTGTCATAGCCAATGGGGACATCAAAAGCCTCCGTGATGTGGAGTCCATCCACCAGCTCACTGGAGTCGATGGTACGTTTGCCTTGGACAAACTGCACACTTGAACAAGTAAAAAATCAATTCATGGCAAAATGATGAATTTCTTGTCTGATTGGATTTGCCCTCTAGGTGTGATGGCTGCGCGGGGGTTGCTGTCTAACCCTGCCATGTTTGCCGGCTATGAGGATACTCCTCTGGAGTGTGTTTGGGACTGGGTGGACATAGCTTTAGAGCAGGGCACTCCGTTCACCTGCCTCCACCAACATCTCATCTACATGCTGGAGAGAGTGAGCTCTCAGCCTGAGAGAAAAGTGTTCAACTCCTTATCCAGTACCTCGGCTGTAATAGATTACCTCCAGAACACATATGGGTCAGTACATGAGCTAGTAACATAATCAACCAGTAATGTATTATTTTCGGGTTTTAATATTTGTACAATGTTATATTTTATGCCAAATAAACTTAAATGCTATTGTTGTATCAATGATTTCTGTTTTCTTTATCGTTATACTGTATTTTCACAAGTCGGGCTAAAAGTCAATCACTAAATATTTTACAGTCAAAGTCTGTATTGAATAGTTTAGAGTGCATTTAAGTTCATTCTAAGGCTTGAGACTTTCACATAATATTTATAACAAGAACATGAGAGATAGCATTGTAGTTGCATAATAACACAGGATATTTATTAAATGTTCACTGTCATGCTCCATTATGTATCAGACCTTCCAGTGTTACAGAGTTCTTATTTCATTCAGCATCTGGTGTATTTTGGCTTTCCTTTCAAAACATTAGCGTTTATGGATATAAAACCGACCATATAAACAGAGATTTTATTTTTTTAGACAACGCCTCTGTCACCACAGCTTTTCACAAAGACAAACATCACTTTCTGTACATTTTATTTTGATCATAACATAACTTAAAGTGTTCAGAATGAATTCAGAGGTATAACGCTTAAATTTGAAGTATAGTTTCTGAGCCACTTTTGTAGAGACAGCAATCAGAACAACCATTTCTATATTTACTGAGAAAGCAGTTGGTTGGATAGATTTCAAAATAAACCTCAGTGCGCACATTGGCACAACGACATTCGGCCATTTCAAAATAAATTTCAAAATCAATAACTTACGCAAATGAACAAATAACGACGCGTTTTACAGTAGTATTCATTAAAAGTTTCATACACGTCAACGCTGCCAAATACATTTATTGTGAAAAGTTTGACCGGAAGCCAGTTCCATCAGCTGGACCCGGAAGAGAGGGAGCGGCAGACGAAACTTTTGCTGTGGATGATTTCACAAGTTAAGAGAAGCTCAACCAGCCAGTATTTTGCTGTTTTAGTCGGTAAGTTTTGATCTTTTAAAGTGAATTTTCACACTCAGATATTGTGTTGATATCGTGTTGACATGTTTTACGTGTGACTACTTTAGTTCACCTAACTGCGTCAAAATCCCCCAGGTCAGGTTCTGGTAGTCAGTCCTCCGTTGATGTTTAAAAAGATGACTGAATTCACGATTTTCATCATGGAGGTTTAATTAAAAAGATAAGAATCCTTTTTTAACTCGTGTGTTGCGGACATTTGCTTCTAAAAGGACACGTGAACGCACCACTTTGTTGCAGCACGTTGCGTGTGTTCGTGTTGCAGAAACAAACAGCTCAAGTTTGACTGATTATCTGTAGCCCTTGTAAGAGTAAACGTTCAGGTATGTGAACTGTGAACACAGAGAGTAAGGAGCTTGTTTTCTTAACAGAGGCTGCATTGTTGTCCAAAGAATCCCGCAAAAAACGAGCGAAAACCTCCCTGACGAGGCAAGGAGGTAGTTTTTTTTTTTGTGACAGGTGTCTTGTCAGAAACCAATTATTACCTGTTTATTATGTCAGCTTTCATTGTTTTCGTTTGTCAGGGTTTTCCCCCTCAGGATCCTTCAAGCAGAGATGACGCTTCAATGGACTGCTGTAGCCCTCTTTCTCTATGTGGAGATGGGCGTTCTGGTCATCCTCTGTTTACCCTTCATTTCAGCCAAGAGGTCAGTGTCTGTGTCTGTGTCTGTGTGTGTGTGTGTGTGTGTGTGTGTGTGTGTGTGTGTTTGTTTTAGGCTTGTGTTAACAAATGTGGTTCTAAAATCCAATACAGCAAAAAAACAAGGAGCAGGAGTTGTGCGTTGACGTGATAGACACACTGTCAGTTATCTCGATCTTCTAAAAGGATGTGATCACGAGTTGCATACTGTTACACACCTCCTCCAGTCTATAATGATAATAATAATGATAATAATACATTTTATTTATAAGCGCTTTTAAAAACTCAAAGACACTTTACAATAGTTAAAACACAGTACAGTAAGGACAGACTAACGGACATTGCGGCATTACACACAAATCATAAAGATAACAACAATAAAGGTAAACTACAGAAAACAGAAAATACATCACAATCATGCATTAAAAGCTTGTTTAAAGAGGTGAGTTTTGATAAGTGATTTGAAAGTAGGAGGGTCGGTGCAGTGTTGCATACAAACACAGTCTATAAAAAAATCTGTGTTTTGTTGCAGGTGGGTGAGTATTTTCCATCTGAGGATTTGGGGCTTTATGTCAAGGTTCTGGAACAAAGTGTTTCTCACAATGATCATCATACTTATCGTTCTCTTCCTTGGTAAGTGATGGATTATTTGAGGGTATCAGATTAAATGGCTTTGGGCATCATTTGAGAACTACACGAGGGGTTTGTACGGTACTCTTTTGATGTGTCACTTATTGCTGACGTGCTTCCACTTCAGATGCTGTGCGTGAGGTGAGGAAATACTCGGCTAAAGAGGTTGGCACAGATGCCAAGCTCCAACCCAACATGTTTGATCACCTGCACATGAAGCTGTTCAGAGCCCAGAGGAACCTCTACATCTCTGGCTTTGCTGTCTTCCTCTGGCTGTGAGTCTTTGCTATACAGATATACAGATATACAGATAAATAACCAATCAACACACGTTAACGTAGTACAGACCTAACTGACACCTGAATTAAGAGTTTCTTCAGCCCATTATTTCAATTGTGTGTTTGCAGGGTCATGAAGCGAGTGGTCACCTTGATTAACCAACTGGCAGCAGTGTCTGCCAGCACGGCTGATCTTCAGGGACAGGCTGACAGTGCAAACCAGACTGCTAAGAAGTGCATGGAGGACAACGAGATGCTGAAACAGGTAGAGCCAGTTTATAACTGAATTTATTTCACTACACTTTACATTAAGGGCATGTCTGAACCATCTTTGTTACATTATTTAGAGCGAGACCCAACCCACACGAATCCATCATGGGAAGCACTTTGCAACATTTAGCAACAGTGGCAAGGAAACACTTCTCTATAACAGACGGACCTCTCAAGCAGAACCAGATGTATTGGTTCCAAGAGAGTGGGGTAGAGGAAGAGATAGAAAGAGAGATGGACACAATGGGTGACTTACAGACAGCAACAAAAACAACTTAAACTGATGATATAAACCTTTACTTACTATGCCCATAAAAATAGTAGAAATATGCGAGCAGCTGATGTCATAATAATGACACTTTGTGAATGACTGACATATGGTTCATCATGAAATTGGTTTGGAGCTTCTTGAAAATGAATGTTAGAAGTTGAACTAATTTAAAGGTAGGGTTGGTCATTTTTGAAGGCGGGGCATTTGAAGGAGCCCCAGGAGGAAGTGGTGGATTTAGATGGAGCCCTGAGGAGATGTTTCTTTTCAAATCTTGCTAGTTTGAATTTCCCTCAGGATCTATCTATCTATCAATCTATCTATCTATCTATCTAGCTTCCCAGAATTACCAACCCCGCCATCATACAATATGTTTTAACTTTACAATGAAAATTCCCCTGGTTGTTCAAGATCATAAAAAAACTTTTAAGACATGAGGTTTAAAACATTTGAATGATTTTGTCTTAAAATGAATATCATGATGGTTGTGAATCAACTCTTAACGTTGGAGTTTAAAGTAACTGCTAACTCGTCTTTCATTGGGCGTATTGAAGGCTCTGATGGGAGGAAAGGGCGATAAGGCTACAGCAGAGGGCATGGAGCTGTTGAGGAAAGAAGTGGAAAAACTGAAAGTAGAACTGAAGACCTCCGCAGAAGGTAAGTTCACATAAATGTAATATACACATGGCCACTCATTTCTTTGAACACGTGGAAATGTTCTTTCATATCTGGATGAAAATGTTCCGCAGTAGAAGACAACGAGGCGGCGATATGCTGATGTGTGCTTGTTTCTTCCCCAGCTCTGAAGAACTCTGAATCTGAGGCCGACGTGATGAAGAAGCAGACGGAAAGCCTCGCTCGAGAGTACGACCGACTGTTGAACGAACATCAGGAACTCCAGGTGATAATAAGCTCTTTTTGATCCTTTGTTTACTCGATAAAACGACCAGTTCAGAGCGACATCCGAAATAATTCACTTTCTAAGAAGCCTTTTCATCATTACTGAGACGTTGAAAACAAATCGGATTCAAGTCCTATATCTCAACTGTATAAACAAAACACATACTAATATGAAATGACATTCTCTCTTCTTTTCTGCCTTTTCAGAATCTTCAAGACAGTGGGGACAAAAAAGAGGATTAGTTAATCGTGAAATCCTTCTAATGCTTAATGTTTTCACACAGAATGAGTCACTGCAACACATATTTTACTCCATTATGACACCTTGTTGTCACAGTACACGTCACACAATCAGGACTGGCTCTCTGCGGCACAGACTCTGGATTATATGAGTAATGGTTTGAAATAGAATGAGTCATATGTTTTCTGTTTGTGCTTGGCACAGTGCGACAGAGACGGTGGCTTTACAAGGTGACACTGTGTGGTGCACGTTAATTGAAGGTAATTGGAGAAGAAAAAAGAAAAGTCAGTAATGGATGCAGGTCTGATCGAGCAGCTCTTAAAAAAAGTATGACAGCCTTTTGATGTTTAGTGGCATTAGTCAGGTGTTCAGTGTGGAGCGCAAAACTTCGCGTGGCGCTTGAAGGCTTTTATTTTGAAAAATGGCTATGAATGTATTTTGATACTATGGCTTTGCTTTTTTTTTTGTTAATTCTGGATGTAGCACAGACGCCTGCCACGCCCACTTCAGCATGTCAATGTTATCTATGCTTGCAGGGCTGTTTGCATGTACAGGTACACTTTGACACCTCATCCTTACATGTTTATATTCCACCTTATGTGTTTGTTTTTTTAACCAAATTAGGGTTGGTGATAGATATGTTTGTTGTTCACATCATTCGTTTGGTGATGATCTGGTTTGACAAATAATGTGTAGAGAAGACACCAGTTTGAACTACATATAGTCTTAATTTAAGTTTAATGTAAGTTGAGGTGAAAGGTCAGCGTTTAAATTAGTCTATTGCATGTTTCTAAACCACAGAAGTTCCACATTGTTGTGTGTTTGCTGCACTGTGTTTTACGTTTTTATTCGATTGGTTATTTGGAGAGATGTTGAAAAAAGGGGGCTGCTAAATTTGTATGTTTCTCTTATTCTGACTTTCACTTTGAGAAAAAAACAAGGTTGAAATCATCATAGGCCTCCATGTTCCCCTCTTTAAGATTGATGAGTAGGTTATTGGATTCACCACAGGTTATGTGGTCTTAAAAATGTGTCCTGAGGTAAGCTTGTATTCCTACACACCTACACAGAAATCACATTGAAGTGCCTTTTGGGTGGATGTTGCACAGTTTGCTAAATAAAAGCTTTTTTCTTTACGCCGTGCCTTTTTAAAAATTTATTAATGAGATCAATTAACGACACCAACACATGATTTGATTGGATATTAAAAGTTTTTATTTTTCATATTACATTGAAGATATTCTTTGTAGTTTTACAAAAATAATCCAAGAAAATTATTTACATTCTGAATTACTGAATGCAAGTGAATGCCTGACATCACTGAGACAATGACTTCCTTCCTGCTCTTCTCTTTACGCGTGAACTTTGTGTGTGTGTGGCCGTCCTGAGTTCAAAAAGACGACACAGTCACTACATTCTGTGAGTCGCCAAACGGTTCATATCCATTTGGGGAAAAAAAAAACGAGAATATGCTATACATTTACAAAGACAACAGTGAAATCGATTGAAAATGAAGCTCAGTATCTAGTCGATTGTTTTGACCTTGAGAAGATATTCTGACAGATTTAAAAAGTGATCGATAAAAACCTGAGAACAGACCTTGATGTTTCTGTTTGAGGGGTTTGGCACAGGAGTTCATTAACAGTAAAAAAAGAAAAAAAAGAACACAATGTAGAAACAGACTGACCACTGAAACATTATTGTATCGACTAGGACAAACACAGTGTATATAGTTTCTATCAATGATGCAGAAGAACTAACTCTTCCACTTTTCAAGCCGCACCACATGGCAACCACCAGACACGAGAGCAAGCACTCACCTCAGCCGTCAGTGACAAACTGGCTGTTTAACTTCAGGCTGCAGAGACGCATCGAGAGAATCCCGGTAAAAAAAAAAAAGAATCTGAATTATCAGTGTCATGAGTAGGGTTTGAGAAATGTAACGCTGCGCACAAAGCGGTACATTTGATCTCTTCAGTAGATATTTTCTGATACATGTGTACTTAATATTCTCTAACAAAAAAATTCTCCAGATGTCAATGAGTGGTCTAAATTCAGCCCTCACTGCAAATCTTTTTTCTGTGGAAATTGCAAATAAAGCCGCTTCTCATTGAATAGCAGCCATTTAATATAACTCCAAAAAACACGCTCCTGATAGTCGGCTTTCTTAAGCTCATATAAAGGCAACAGTATTATTTTCAGCATGTTTAAGAAGAAGTCAAAAACTCCTCAAAGTAGCTTTTTAAGGATTAAAAGTCTCCTTAATAATAATAATAATAGATTAAGACGGGAGTTATTGGTACTGGTTGAAACTGTAAAAAAAAATGTGCTACTAGTGCCCCCTTGTGGAAGGCCTCCACATTGAGTAGTGACAAATGTCTTTCTCCTTTAGTGAGCGTGAACACTGAAGGAACAATTTCACGTCCAGAAAGCACTCAACCAAAGCAGCATCACAATGATACATGACTGTTTCTAAATGACTTGCATCCAGTCTGGAATTTCAAAGTCAAATAAAAATCTATTCAGATATGTGTTTCAAAAATTGCTCTCCAGTGTCAGTAAGAAGGGTGACACACATGATTGAGAGGTAACTGTTGAGTGAACGAGGCACATACGTTAAATCAACAATCGTCAAGCCCTCTAAAAGCTACTGAAACACATGTTCCAACATATATTTCCACTTTCTAATTAAAATCCAGTCAGAAAAAAACGACTTCCAATCTCTTAGCTGGCCTTATTTGTACGTCTTTTTGTGTGTGCTGTGCCTCTGGTTTGTAAGGCCACATCTTAACTTCTGTTAAATAATTGACCTGAAAGAAAAATCCATAGAGGCAGTTAAAGAGTTTTTTTTTGTTTTTGTTTTTTTAAAGAAAATCATTTTTTGAAGAAGTCTGTTCAACTCTTGAATCACTGTCATATTCACAAAAGCCTTAAAAGGTCCTGGAGTACAAATATAGAATTTATGCTTTGTACGAGATGATTGAATACAACATGTCATTCCCTGCAATTGTCACATGTGTGTGTTTGCATGTTTAATGGATGTGTACTCATCTGTGTGGTTAGGTTTGCGTGTGACTGTGTGCGTAGGAGACGAGGAGCTTGCTGGATCCATCACAGCCGCGTCTCCCTGTCTGTGCTGTTGTCTGATGTTTGTTGTGATTGGTCCGAATTAGAAAACACGCACTCTTCCTTCCTGAGCGCCTCCAGCTCTGTCCCCCCGTTGGCCAGAGTTCTGTGGATGCCGTTTAATTCCTCCGTCTTCAGCTGTCGACTGAGCAGAATGAAGCCCGGGATGCAGATGATGAAGGAGATCGTCCGCAGGCTCAGAGTCAGACCCAGGTACGCTATCCTAAAAGTTGATACGACCCAAAAAGAAGAGCTGAGTTGGTTACCATCAGGTTTCTTATAAGAAGACATAAAATGAGACAGGAGGAGGGATTATGTGTTGGGTGGCTGTTCGGAAACACTAAAGTCTGAAGCACACATTTCCATCACTTTCTAAAAACAGAATATGACAAAACGTAAACAACTATGAAGCACACAGATGATGTTTGTTTGAGCTATCACAAAGTCAGCTTGTTAACCAGGACACGAGCTGCAGAGAGAGGCCAAGCCTTAAAGTTCACAACATTTACATAGCAGTGTTTAATATTGCTATGGAGTTGCTCACAACTTGATCCATTTTTTTGTGTATATACTTGTTTATATTGTATACATATGTCAAAGTGGATACATGCAGTTTCTATCTAAACTATGTGTGTTCTGGAGCAATTTCAAAGCAAACCATCAATGATCTCAATGTGTGTATCAGATCAGATAAGGTTGAAAGGGAGCAAATGTCTGCAATCTGTTGATATGTTTTGAAGTACTATGGCTGTATGTTATACTGTGTCACAGTTGTGGCTGCTTCTACACCTGACTGTGAAACCAACAGGCTTTGGGTGTCGCTGGAGCTGATCCCAGCTGTAATTGGGTGAGAAGCGGGGGTACATCCTGGACTGTTTGCCAGTCAGTCACACGGCTGACATATAGACACAGACAACCAACCACATTCACATTCACACCTACGGGCAATTTTTTTAAGAGTCACCAGTTAACCTAACCAGCATGTCTTTGGACTGTGGGAGGAAGTCTAAGAACCCAGAGAGAACCCACACATGCACTGGGAGAACATGCAAACTTCACACAGAGATGCTCCTGTCCGACTGGGATTCGAACCAGGAACCTCCTCGCTGTGAGGCAACAGTTCTAACACAGATTTATTTACTTGGCTTTTTCATCACGTGTTGACGGTAAAATATTTACTCTTTTCATTTCTATCTGGATGCAAATTGTACCTGTATGTAGTGGTGTTGTAGATTCTACAGGCTCCTATGCCTCCACACCTCTTCTGACCCCATTTCAGACATGTGGTGTCAATGATTGCTCCAAAGTAGATGGGTGCTGGGATCCCAGCTGTCAGACCAAAAAAAAGTTGTTGTTTTTTTACAAACAACATCCCCCCTCAGCTAAAACACAACAGAGTCTACTGTTCAAGATCAGTCAAATGAATATGTTAAGAAGGCTGAGATGCTGAACTTTTGAAAAACACAAACATTATGAAGGGAATCCAGTAGTTCTTGTCATGTGCAAGACTTCATCTGAGCCCCGAAAATTTCAAATTCAAACATGATTGAAAAAGGAATGTGTCTGATACTTACCAAGGGTACGTGTTGCCAGAGCATGGAAACCCAGTGCTAAAGATTTGAGCTGTGGTTTGATGCACCTGCATGGAAGATACAAATCAGAAGCTGTCTACTGCAGAGAGATAAGATAACACACTCAGATTTCATTTGTAATACACCTAGTTATCCAAAACACTGACACACTGTTAGACACAGAATGGAAAACTTGTTCTGAAGCATTTTTCCGACGTTTTAGTAGGTAGTTATACTTTGAACATTTTGGTCGACTAAGGCCTCATCCTATAGTAAATCAACAGGGTGGAGAATTTCTATACAGAGATGAACAGCTACTTCAAGAAGACAGAAACAGCTTATAAATGAATTGCCTTTCAGTAAGGCCAGTGCATTTGAACAGGATCAGCTGATATGGCTTTGGGAGGTCTTTTATATGTGTTTGTCATGTAATAGGGGCATTTACTCCACAATTCTCTCAATTAAACCTTTTTATTTTTGGGGTGGGAAAAAAAAAAAGTGAGCTACTTTGCGTTTATGTCGTCTTACTAGCATCCCAGCCAGCAGGGGTTGATGTGGTAAAGAAGACTCTATATATCCAGTTTTAAAATACATGATTTAGGGCAAGGCTACACTTATCTAATGAACATATTCAGATGCAATACCTATTGATAAAGTCTTACATATATTCTTTTATATAACAGACACTTTTTTTTTAATGTGCACCATATCTGCGTATCAAACATGACCATGCTCAACCTTGCAAAAAAAATACCAAAACACATGATGTTCAGATTAACAGAGATGCCCCTCGTGACCTCTAGTGCAAAGAGTGCATTCTCTTCCTAATCATCCGGCAGGAAATAATGAAACCAAGAGGCCTTGAAATGCATTGGCAACTTCAGCCACTGAGGTTAAACCTGAGCTAATTGAGCTAATAAGCCAGAGAGAGCTGCTCCCAGCTGTGAGTCACATGGACTATTAGACTTGTACACCATAAGAGCTCACAATAACACAGGACAGCCTTGTGTCCCTTTCATAGTAATATGGCAGTTTCTTTCACTTGGCTGTTTATTGAAAGCACTTTGAGAAAACTTTGAGTGGGTGAGTCAGCTTTGGTCGTCACAACCCATTTCCTCTACATCAAAAGAACCAGTCGTTATTGTCATTAGATGGTGAATGAATCAAATGTTCTCTTTCTGAATGCTGGAAATGAAGAACTCAAAATCACTGTTACATATTAGATAGGTCCGTTTTTTTTGCAGCTGCAGCTTTGAAATTTCCAACACTGGAAGTCACCAGGTTTTTTTTATGTAGCGTATGTTTTAATATCTTCTACTTCCATGCAGCGTTCTAGTTAATTCATGCTCTGTTTGGTACAGATGTGCACGACACAGTGAAATCTGTTCTTTTTTCTGCATTGCTTCTTTGTCAATTACTCTAGCAAAAATAAGCTCTCAGTATTAAGACCAATGTGTCAGAAAAACCAACAGTAGCTCCCTCTCCTTTGCAGTTAGTGACGCAACAGGTCTCCCTGGCCTCGTTTTCAGTCATTAGATCAGAGACTGGGCTTCATGGCTTTAAAGTGAATTCAATTGGCCGTGTCCTTCTACCCAGCACCATCGCATTAAGAGATTTAAAACCTCAAGAAATCATATGATTGGAAACTGATTACTTCTAAACATTAAAACCTACAAAATCCACAGTTAATACATGTGACACAGACACAAAGACACACAAACACGTAGTCAGAATGCTAATAATATACAGCAGCAATAATAAGGCGGCTATAAATGTCCAAATCATTGTTTCTGAGAGCTTTAATCCTGCAGGAAGCTAAATAAAAAACTTCCTGAATTTCCTGGAAGTAAGCAGATCAGATGGAAGGTCCTCAAATTGAATAGAAAAGGATTTTTCTTTGAAAGTAACTGAATCAAAGACGAAAAACTGAAATGAAACCAAAAATATCACTGGGCATCTTCTAAAATCAGCCCCCAACATCACATTTGCTTTGACTGAAATCTGACCTGATGAGAAGCATGTAGCCCGGTGTTCCCCCGAGGGAGATGATGAATGAAGTGATGACAGAGAGAGCCAGGAAGTACGGGAACATCCTGTCACAGTCATCCTTGTTCGGGCACTGACCTGTACTGGCCGTAAAGTTACCGGCTGCACCGACACAGCTACAGTTAAAGAACACCTGGAGACAATGCACGGGCGCACACAGTGTGACAATGTATATCAGGACACAGACATGTATGAAAAAACAGCAACATGTGCAAGTAGGAGTAATGTGTATGCACAAACACTCATGTACAAGTAGTGATATAAGATCATCATTCTAGAAAACAGGAGATTCCTATTATGACAGATTTTTAATTTCCCTTAAAATATGAAAACTGTGAAATTCATTCAACGGAAAACTTCATGACATAACATTTTATAAATCTACACAGAATGTTCAGTAAAGTAAATGTCATATGTTATTATGTCCATTGTAATATCTCTTTGTACTTTTTAAAACCTTCACAACTCACAGTGTTTTTTCCTGAGCCAGCCGAGCCGGAGCAGCCAGCGAGACAAGGAGAGACATACGTGACGCCGTCCTCTCCGCAGACCGGGTCCCACTCGCTCGCTGAACACAAACACTCAGAGTTGCAGGCTGTGAACACGGAGTGCTGGTCGTAAGATATCGTGTCCATGCTGGAAGGAGAGAATGCGAAAAGAAAAGTACGACTGAGAGGTAAGTCTTCCATGTGCAGTTACACAATGATTTATCTTTGACATGACTTTTTATAGAAACACAACTGTACACAGAGTTGTAATGCACCAGTAAACACTGCGGGATGAAGCAGCATTACACGTCGATAGTGAGGCACATTTAAATGGTTGACATTAAAGGACATGTACCTTTGAGAGAAAACTATTGTTTTTTATGTCGAATGTTGCTTCCTCTTTACATTGATTTCCCTGAACGATATCTTAATATTACATTTAATTATTTAGCTTTATTCATAAACATGGTTGGAGCCAAAGTGGGAATAAGAGCATGAATGAGCAGTTAGCTCACTTCTGTTGAGTTGAAGCAGAGGTAATCAGCGTTAGGAAGAGACATTTAAATTTACAAAAAGCAGTAAAAGGTTTCAATCACTGTGACCCAATCAGCACGCTTTATCCATCAGACTTCTTTTCACTTGTTGCACTATTGTGTATTCTGCTGAACAATGTTTTTAAGACACAGAGGTGCATCAGACACACATTGGAAATGAGTTTTAATTGATCTGTGATGCTCCTGATGACATCCCTGTTGATTCTGTGTTTGAGATCAGTCCACATGTTTCCGCTCTTACAGTTTGCATTCGTCAAATTTTCTCGTGCATGCCCCCCTATGCTCTCTTGGTGCCAATTCTGCCTACACACTACTCCATATTTTAACTCCATGTTAAACTTGTGTGACACTGCTTTGCTTCTTGAAGAGGTCAACAGTTCAGGTAGGATGCAACCTTACTCTGACATCCCTTATGGCTATGTTAAACACACAACGATTCATTCACTCTAAAGAGCACATTCATGACATACAACATAGTTTTATTTAATGTTCACTTTCAATCAGGTGTCCTTGACGTAAATGACTCTAACTGTCCCAACACACCTTTATCTATGACTCACTTGTTGTATGAAAGTGTCACACCGGCTACCTTGGCGTTCTCGCAGCTCATGGCGAAGAAGAACAGTGACAGAACATAACCAATCAGAGATGTGCCAAAGGCAAACTTGGCTGCTCGCATGATGTTCATCTTCAGCCTTTTCATAAGCAGACCTCCCGAAAACATCCCCAGGGCTACAGCTGGAATGTTGATCACTCCTAAGATTATGAGAGACAAAAAAAAAACCACAGGATATATATATTTATTGGGATTGGATTAATATTTAAAGGCTTAATCTGGATTGAAAGACTGCCAGTAGAATTTAACATAGTATCAAAGCTTACTGTCACTGGCTAATATTTCAAACAAGTAAACTGCTGGAAAACTTTCTGACAAAACCCCAAGAAAAAGCTAACTTGGTAAAAGAAATAAGAGCCTTGCTTATTGTTCTTGTTTAGTCTCTTGACTTTAACATCAATGGCAGACATAGTCTTTTATCTATCCCCATGTCGTTAGCTCTGGTCCCTTATTAAACATTCCTTTTCAAATGGAGCAGTCTGGTCTATAGAGAGACATCCTATGATGATACCACAGTGTATCTCATGTGATGTATGTTGTCCTGTGTTTCATTTCATGTGTGGTTATTAGGCTGATGAGGAACATACACAGCACATTTTTTTTTATGAACTGGAGGGACGATTCTGAGAGTAAGGATTGTAGAAAGAAACTACAAGACTATGAAACCATAAACATCTCAACATCGTTAAGAATCATCGCTACAACTCACAGACTCGAACACTCAAGCACATCCAAAAAAAAACATGTTCAGCAACTGATTTCATACCCATCAGAAAGTTGGCCTTTGATGCCGACTGCCTGAAGTGCTGCTCGATGTACTTGGGCTTGTAGGTAACCATGCCGATGAGAGAGTTCAGCTGGATGATTGTCACACACAGGTAGATCATGTACACAGGGTGTCTCAGCAGAGTTCGTAGGGTCGGAATAAAGTCTGTTGAGGGATAAAAATGGTTGAAAAATTATAAATATGCAGTATCCCAACGTTACAGGGTGTAATGACTATCTCTAAGTGCTTTTATGATACAATGTTTGGCTTTTTGTCATAAACGGTTTGACGAAACAAATAAATAATAAATTAATAAATAAAGGTTTAGCAGAGAACATCGTTTTTACCGCTTCACTCGTCCTTACCTTTAGCCATCTCTATGAAGTTGGTGTGGTCGTCTGCAGGATACTTGTTCTTCAGAGACGAGAGTCTTTGATAAAACTTGTCTGCTCTGGTGTGCATTTCTCTGTTCCCTGCGGCCCAGACATGGGCAGGGAGCGTGGCAGAAACCAAAATGGGATGGCAGAGAGCAGTGTTATGACCCCAGCTATCAGGTAGCCCAGCCACCAGGCCCCCACCCAGCGGGCATCAGCTGGGGTGATGGTGATGGTTTCTGTAAAGGCGGGTGCAGGAGATGAGACTAAATGAATGCTCAACTCCAGCTCAGGTTGTTTAAGTAACTTATTGTTAAACATCCTGTATGGTTAAAAGCGCCTCGTCTAGTTATTTTTTTTAACTTTTATGTTGCAGTTAACCTCCCTTTTATCCCCCGTTTCTCTCACTCCCAGTCTTCTCGTCCATTTTCCTCTGGTCTGTTCTTCCTTCTCATACATTTCTCTGTTTTTTTCTGTCTGGGTTCTTCCTCTCCCTCGCCTGCACTCTATTTGATTGAAGTCTGTCACTGGACTCTGTCCTTCATCTCCCTCGCCATGCTTTTTTCATTAGCAAATCCTGTACATCTGTTCTGAGTCTTTTAGACGTACACATACAGCATGTGAACCATCTGATAAAGCCATGCCTCAGTTTTATGAATGAAAAGACCTTTTTCAGAGCAGTCAATTGGATCTGTGATGGTCGATGGAAAATTACAGTTTACAGGATGACATTATTGATGGCTCTGTTATATTCAAGTGTTAGTTTAACAGAGAGCCAGCATGCACAATAAATCATAATCAGACATCAATGATGCTTTACTCTCCACTGGTTCTTTCCCCCTCATGTCAAATGTCTACCGTGACGTTCTTTAAACTCAGTTTTTTTTATTTGACCCAATTAGAGTCCATTAGAAAGTTTTAAGAGCTGCAAATAAATCACCATAAAATATATTTAAGACAGCTTATTTTTTTTAGCAGTATTGCACTGGGGACTCTAGTGCTACTACTAGTGAAGCGTAGCATGATAATATGGACATATTATATCTTGGGGGAACTCCGAGTTAATTAAACAACTTAATTAAATGATTAAATGATCTTGTGTTTTAACTTACCCATTTTTACAAATCCAATATCCACATATATTTTGGCACAAAGGGAGCCTAACAGGTAGCCGAACACAGGTCCCACCACTGAAATGGTCTGCACACAGCCTAGGGCAAACAAAGGAGAAACAAAGACAAAGGGGCACACAACACACAAACTGGTAAGGAGTAAGTCTGTATCACACTGATACACATTTTGTTATGTATTCCCCCCTACATTCTACAATTCAATGAGCAGACGCTGTTGTCCTAAGCGACGAACGTCAAGGAGTCGAACAAACAGACGAAGGGGCTGACAGGCAGTGCACAGAGGCCTATTTATATCTATATTATAAATATACATATATATATATATATATATATATATTGTCATCATCCTCAACAATATCGACAGCTTCTGAGAATTCTAATCAGCATCAATCACATCCTAATAATTATCATCAGTATCATGATCTACTCGACATTTACAACAGTGGTAAACTTTACACAAAAATATCACACAATATTCACACAATATTCATAACAAGCTCAAAACTCCTTACAGGGGCTTTAAGATATTACAGTAAGTATGCAAACACTCTTACATAGAAGGATAAATTACAGCTCACAGATTATACCTTATGTTTAAATGTAAACTGTCAAAACTGAAATAACTTGGGAAACATATATTTCCTATGAATTTGTTTTGTAACATCAAGAGTGTTTAAGGGAGGCTTTAATATAAATGAATGTAAACGCAGACTATTAAAGACGACTATAAGGATGACATAGATGTATATAATCATTTAGTAAATCGTACAAATCCATGTAAACATACCAGTAACTCGTTTTAAACTTATTTCATGTAACCGACCCCTGTCTGTACTATTTACAAATAATGTAGGTATACATAGAGCTAGTGAAGCACCTTATAACATGCATGATTGAACGTTTAGTCATATATTTATCAATGAGATTGTTCCCCCTGTCAGGATAGTGATAAAAAATCATTTTCTCAGTGATACATTATGTATGTTCCCTGTGGGAAACTGATGCCTGTGTCAAATTCCATTTAAGAAGTAATATTTTGCATTATGTGCATGTAATGTCATCAAACATAAAGTGCATGGATAATGTTATCATACCAACATATAGTGCTGCATTCTCCTCTGAAGCAAAATCATCTATATAAGAGATCCCAAGAGGCTGCACAGGTGTCTCTCCGATCCCCCGCAGGACATTTCCCAAGAGGACATAAATCCACATGGACAGGTTGGAATCGCCTTCACAACCTGCTGGAAAAGATGAGTAGAAATCACACAAATGTGCTTTGAAACACTAGTGTGCATGTGTGTAAATGCTCACCTGAGGCTGGCACTTGAGTTAGTTTACCATCTTGGGTTAAATCTGCTGCTGAGCCAGCCCGACAAGGGGAGGGGTTCAGCGTTGAGTTCACTACCCACCGAACTGATGTTTCAAATTCATACCTGAACACAACACACAAATTAAACTATTAAAAAAAAGAAAAATATATAACAATCACATTACTTCACAGGAAACAGATTTCATAATTAGAACTTCTTTTTTTATAGTTTCTTTTGGAAAAAAAATCATTCACTGACCTCTATGGTCAGGACTTATTGTAGCACCATGTTTGACTCATAAAGGCTAAACCAACAGTGCTAAGGTACATGAAAGACTTACGTAAAAAGCAATATAGTGAGTCAAGACAGAGTTCACCTGTCGTATCTCATGGATCAATAGTTCGAATGGTGCTCTTTAAACAACCTGCCTGAGTTGTGTCATATGAGGAATAGATGGGATTTAACTCGAAACAACAGCTTTATTACACAATCTATGACTAATAACTCATTGGTGTAATCATTTGCGCACAAAACAAGTCCAAGTTGCCTAAGACTAATGATTGTGTCGAGTAGCTTTAGTGTAGCTGCTATGAATATATTGCAACGTTAAGTATCAGTTGGTTGTAAATTAGACCGTTTTCCCATTAGGCATGATTGTTTCGTACCGTGCCCGAGCACGATTCCTCCCCCCTCCCCTCTCCCCCGCTGGTCTGTGTTCACATTAGTAACATCGTTCCGTATCCGAGAACACTTCCGCATGTACAGCAGGGGACAGTATGAACAAAGTTGGTTAGCACATCCGCCAAACAGCAGAAAGAAGAACAAGCAACCATGGCAACCACAGGCACAGGTGATAAAATGGCCCGTGCTGCGGGGACACAACAGTTTGTGACAGGAGCCGTAGCATTACGTCATATAGCAGTCCGCTTCCTCGTTTGAGCACGGTTGCGTTTGCATCTCTTGCTGACTACTCGAGTACACATGAAACATGCTGAGACCTTCTCTTCAAGAGTACTCTGACATGGTACCCGAGTACGGTACGTCTGTGTTCACACTGATCAAATGAACCAGACTTTCGGGTCAAGCGTTCTCAGATCTGGGCTTTCTATATGATTTCAAATTAGTTTTAGTAAACAGTTTCTGAGGCTGAGTCTACAGTTGAAGTCACATCGGGATTATTGTCAAGTAGTTTAACTCATACAACACTAAGACTCTTTTTACTCACCGTCCAATGATGAAATGAGGCAGAGCGATGATGAATGTGCCGATGGACATTAGTACACAGCCCACTGCAATGATCTTAGGGCGATGGAGCTTGGCCCCAAAGTAGCTGACAAATGCTATCACCAACAGGTTACCTGGAAGAAAGACAACCAGTAATAACAGGGAATTAAATCATGACTTAACACAACCACAGGATGGATAAAGGTTGGAACAAATAGTGAGATGGAAAAGGAACAGTCTCTCGCCTCATTCAGTTTGTTTTATACAGTTTTTTTGTGCTACTGAGTGTAATTCAGATGTGGCTTTGTATGTTCATTAAATGCTTTTTACATTTATGTCCTTAGCTTATGAATTTAAATGTATTGTTATAATAATGTTTGAATATATGTAAATGTAATATATATATGTATATGTAAGATTCAGAAATGCAACCGAAAAAAAATTGCATAATCATCTGAATCAGTTATCTCACTTCTATGTTTTAACCACTATAATATCTACTATGTGTACCGTAGATTCTTCTCACTATAAAAGTACGCTAATTTTTTTTGTGTATATTCATGTGAAATGAATAACCAGAAAACTGAACGCTTGACTTTTGTGTACAAATGTTCCCTGCCAGGCAGATGGGGTTGTGTTCTCACACGTCATACGTCATACATATATCCCCAAGATCTATAGCATGCAGCAGCCAAGGTGTTAGAGGGAATACAGATCAAACAGGATGCATTGAAACATGGCAATTTTTCTACTATCATTGTTTAAAAAGCAGTTAGCCTGGGATCGTTGACATGGAAAATACAATTTAAGGTGGAAAACTGGCCCAGAAAGATAAGCTTCTAACATGCTGTCTGACATTAGTCTATTGTTGAGGCTCATTCGTTGAAATGACGTCAAACGCTCAGAAAATCCCTGGCTACTGACGCGCGCGCGTGTGTGTGTGTGTGTGTGTGTGTGTGTGTGTGTGTGTGTGTGTGTGTGTGTGTGTGTGTGTGTGTGTGTGTGTGTGTGTGTGTGTGTGTGTGTGTGTGTGTGTGTGTGTGTGTGTGTGTGTGTGTGTGTGTGTGTGTGTGAGATGTGGCAGAGGGAAAGGAGTGATGGAGGCGAGATGTTCATGATATGAATGTGTGTGCATTATGTTTATGTGTGTTTCTAAGATTTCACAGAAGCTTGTATGTCACATGGTTTTCATGTCAATGTGTTGGGCAGTTTGTTCATTCCAGGAAGATCTTTGATTACTTTCAAACTTCATTTTGTGTGTTTTATTTCTAATATGTTCCATGTTTGTATTACAATATGTGCTAAGTACTACTCATAAATCACTCATCATGTGTACAAGGATATCGCCTGAGGCCGATCAGCTGAGCTCATCTGGCTGAAGTGTTCTCTGTTAAACTCAGCGTCTACGTCATCATTCACTTGCTTTTAATTTTTTTTTTAAATATCTCTCCAATCCTGCTTCTCTTCTTTGTCTTCCCACATCTCTGTTCTCACACTTTTCTTTTCCATTTTTTTTTTAATTTCCTCTCCATACTGCCCTTCTCTGCCTCTAGGTTACCTTGGCAACGGCCCTATAGAAAAAGCTTGTTGCCTAGGCCACACGAGAGAGGCAGCTTTCACAAGAGATGGAAAGATGGTGAGATGGATGGAGAGAGAGAGAGCTAAGGGATATTCAGCTGTTACTGTGCCAGAAGTGCCAACCTCACCTCCAGCAGACAACAACCCCTAACCTCCATCAGAGTAAACACAGGTTAGACGCTCTGCCATCATTTTACTAACTTCATCTTTGAATGGTCTTTACTATTTTCCCTTCACTGTTGACCCAAAACTGCTTCCCTCAGCAGCAAAAAATAATTAGAATGGTTAATATTTGTGACAGCTTTCCTTTTGGTCATGCTTTTCGTGTTATGATCCCAAAACAGCACCAACAATGATTTGGCATTTTTAAGAAATTGCTTGTTACTTATGAGCAAACACATTCACTGATACAGAATAAGTCTTAATGGTAAGTTGTAATTGACTGATGATACATGCAATGCCAAATTATGATTTGTCTTTTAGTATCCATCTTAATCATTTTGTGCAGAGAATGTTATGTGTCCCCTCATTATGTGAAACCCTCACTCTCAGTGTGAAAAACAAGTTAGATCTGCTGAGCGAGATGAGGGTGAATTTGATATTTAAAGATGTCTGCACAGAGTGAGGCAGTTTGTTTTGCACTTGCCCAATAAATTATTTTGGAATTGCTTGAAGGGTCTGTCTGGTTGCAACTGGTTTAGCCAGTAAATGCCAGATGATTCCTACATATATTAACCGGGAAAGGCTGAGGTTAAATAAATAGCATAGAGAAGGTATTACATAACAAACAAATCTTGAGTTCAGCTGCCCCCAGAATAAAGCCAGGTCAAAGCTGGTTATGTCCCTACATGACGCTTTGATTCACCACGCTTACACACCCATCTGCCTTCTTCTTGAAACCCTGATGAATCCTTTATCTGAGGCTTGAATACCTCTATTTCCCATTCATATTCCGGCCCAATGTAGGAAAGAGAAAAAAAAAAGTGAGGATCCAATGACACAGAGGCTGCGAACACAACAACAAAATAACAGCAGAGCCTGGCAGGCCAACTCACCTATCTCGAAGCTTCCATCAATGACACCTATTAAGTAACTGGGGATGTCAAAGCGCCTCTCCAGCTGAGTTATTGTGCTCTTCATGTAACTCCCCGACAGAGCCTTTGCAAAATAGGCGAAGGACAAAGCCACCAGAAACATCTAGGGGATGAGGGAGAGGTGAGAGAAGGAGAGATGAAGAAACAGAAGGCTTTACGTTAAAATACAAAGGAACATAGACATACAAGCAAACAAATGAAGCCATTCATTCATTCATTTAAATGTATTTTGAACCTCAAAGAAACACTGAGGTTTCCCTCATTTGTCTAGATTCAAAAGAAGAAAAATATACAGAATAAAAACAAACCACTGAGGTGTAGGGTTTTAAGATCATCAACTTGAATTGCCCATGAAGAATATGACAGTGTTGATCTTGAGATTGTGGTGTCAATCACTTTTTGGATCACACAAAGAACGTTATAAGATTGAGTTTGGAAGGGTCCATTGAGCCAGTCTAGTACAGATGTTATATGAGGTGGTGCACATCCAGTATGATATATATAGATAAAAAGATATGATAATTTGAGTGTTGCGTTGCTTCTCAATACAGAGCACCACACATCTGTGTGTCCACCTCGAATACAAAAGCACTAGATGTCATATTTTTTGCAAGGGGAAACTGAAATTCACAGATCAAAGAATTACATATTTAACGGATGCAGTGTGGACAACCAACATGCGATCATGCGCGATGCGTGCTGTTAGGACATGTCTGTAGATTCAATTATTATAATCTAGATCTGAAGGAGAAACTGCCAGAAGCATACTTTTCCTACAAGCTGGATGCTTCTTTAAAAAAAAATGGGTTAAATGTAAATTATTCATAAGCCAAATACCTAAATATTTATTCCCTTTAAAAATGTTTTGTACCCAGTCTTACAATGTTGCTTTTATTCAGTGTTGATAGGCGTAGGATCTAATGTCTCGTGCTCTGGAAAAAGCTGAAATTTACTTTTGCTAGACATAAGTATTAGTTTAAGGCTGTTAAGTGCATTCTGAAATAAAATTGTACTTCATCCAGTGTGTTGGAATGAGACCGCAAAACAATAAAGAATAGTATCATTCATTAACATGAAAAAAGAATATTACAGGTAGCAAAGAGACAATTATTACTAGAAAATGTAAATGAGACAGGGCCCAGTGCTTGTGGAACATCTTTTTGAAGACAAACTTTTCCAAACTCTATTTCTCTGCTTTAATACACTGTAAGCTACCAGAAAGGACATTCTGAAACCATGAACTAGCAATGGAGTCAAACCCAATATTGTAGAGTGGCAGAATAGGACGAGAATGATCAACTTCAGTAAACTTTTGATGAGCCTAGAAATGTTGCTGTCAACATTAGTAATCTGCTTGATTGTGTTGTTGATGGCGTGTTTTGTCCACTGAGAATAGACATAAAAAAGGAACACTTCTGTTGCTAAGATGCCACAACTGTCCTTATTAAACAGACGTCAGTTGGCAACATTCACTAGTTTAAAAGTTTAAGCATTAAGGGGGAAAGCATTGAAAGGAGTGTAAGTCTAACAGCAGGAAATATTAACAACCATAAGTGAATAAATGGCTTTGATTTTGAATGAAGACAGACAGATTGATAAATGGATAGTGATATGTCGAGTACCAGTGAGCAAACATTAGAGATGCCAAGGCCTGATCATAGGGCTGCACAGTTTATCAAATTTTATTGGAGGAGATCAAAAATATACTAGATTATAATTTTTTGCCAATATCATGCAGGCCTAGTCTAACGATTGGGGTGGACAAATGTCTAAATATGGTCTATTATTACATTTCAATGATATCAGTTTGGCAAATGTATTCTAAGAACACCTAAAAACGTTACTTGGCGCCATGACCTGACCAAACAGGAAGTCAGCGATTTTTTAAGTTATATCGAAATTTCAGCGCAATATGTATAATTCATAGACCTAATACACATTTTAACTCCTCTACTAGCACTAGTAACATAGTCTGCTGCTTCTATCTCTCTCTTCTAAATTGTCAAGAATCAAATAGATCATCACTGCTGGTTATTTGCATTTTAAAGGCAATCTAGTTGGAATATGTTCTCTCTGTATATTCTATAGCAAAGTATCATTCCTTGGGAGCCATTGTTTTGTTTATACCTTTGCCTGACTACTTGTGTAATGTGACTTCCATGTGCACTGCTTATCTCATGTCGCCACTTTATCACCAGCAAAGGGGATAGGATTCTGTAAAAATACCATGACCATGACTTATTTTCAAATACCCATGAAGATCAAAGGACATAGCAGGCACTTAGTGTATGGACAACACAAAGGTTCTATTCTTCTCCTGTCTTCTATGATCGGAAGTGGCGCCTAATGCCATTTGTTTATTAGGCCACATGGCATGAAAGCCGTTTCAGTTATATGAACAGGAAGGAGATAAAAAAATATACTAATTAACATTATTGAATAATTGGGATTGACTGGGTCCTGTTGTGTCCGCTAATGTCTGGCCAAAAAGTCGCACTGCTCACTCCAAACTGATAGCAGCCTATTGCCAATTAGTTTGTGCATTCTGCTGATGTGCGAGATGCAATAACACTTATACCAGCAGGCAGTGGCAGTCTGATATTTGTCACACAAAGCGGAAAACCAAAAGACTGTGACTTGACATCGTATAAGAGTTACAACAACGTCCTATGGTAAATTATCAAAGTGCAGGGTGCTGTCAGGGCAATGTGCTTCAATGTAAAACTCAGGATTTGGATAGCTTTTTATTGCAATGGACTTCATATGAAGTGATTAAGTTTGAGTCAATGTCAAAATAGTTGATATTGCTTTGTTTATGTATGGAACACCTTCTGCACCTTAAGGTGCTTAAGCCCTTATAGGAACATTTATTTCATTTGAAATCTTTTTGGAAACTTTTTAAGTGGGTTTTAAGAAGAAACATCTTTGTAGAATGAGTGGGTAAATGGGACCCATTAAAATCAGTTAGAAATGGATTACTTCATCTGAATAGCCTCCAGCTCTTTTGGGGATTTGCAACAATGGCATACATTGTGACATTTCCATTCTGTACTTTCAATTGTTTTGTTTTTTTTGTTTCTTGTAAGTGCCAGATAAGCTGTGGCCTCATTGTGATTAAAGATCACTAAAAAGCGATTTGCATTCAGACTCTGAAAATTTTAACAAAGCCTCTTTCTGACCTGTGACCGGCTTTTGTTCTTAGCTCATTGATGTCACTCACCGAATACACTTGGGTTAGAGCCACTCACAAGCACACAGTTTTATATAATTAGTGAGAGGGATGTCAAGAAGCAAATAACAATGAATTTAAAATTGGTAAAATGAAAATGTTGTGGTAAGGGAGTTCTGAGATGCCTCTTTCTGTAATACATGAAACACTGGAACATTGTAGCACCAAAGTCCTATTCTTATTGGTGGAATTATCAAAATCAGAGAATAACATTGAGCACTGGATTAGAGTCGGACAGGCTGTGCCATATCCCACCCAGCCCGTCAAGAACTAAACAATTCTAAGGAAACATGAAATACAGCCCTGCCATCGCCATCAGTATTATGAAAAGCTGCTTGAACACCATTGTCTCACACCACTTTCATGTGGGGAAACAGAAACAAGATTGTCTGATCTCATATAGGGACTTACCAACTTTCATGTTTTTGGTAAAAGACATGCTTTCAGCCAAAGCAAAGAGTAAGCGGAAAAACTGAGGTGGTCTATTCAAAAGATTCACACCCTGTTCTGCCTTATTATCTCAGTCTTTGAGAGTGACTGTGATAACTATTATGACTTTTTCACTATGGCAACATGCACACAAGAGCAACATTTCTCCAGTCATTAGTGTGAGTGTGATTGTTTCAAAGGTCTTTAAAAAACTTGAACTCTTCAAGAACACACGAAACCCTATATTGTTTAAATTACTTTTTCAAAAATGAATAGTCAACTCATAATATGATTTTTTTGTCCCTGCAGTACCGTAATTAAGATTCTGGTTTCCTCCATATCAAGGAACCCTGAGACAGTTATTTATTACTTTGTAAACTTTTATCTACTTTGCATTTAATATAGAGGCTCTGGTGGGACAGGCTTATCTTGTAAAATGCACTCAATATGGTTTATGAATAACTACAGACAATTCACGAGTTAACAGTAAATACTATTATGTCATAAGGTTAGAGATGCTCTAGAGTTCCTCATCCATTATCCGATGGTGGAACGAACTTCCAAACTCCATTCGATCCGCAGAGTCCCTTTGCACCTTTAAGAAAAAGATAAAGACCCAGCTCTTTCATGAACACCTACGCAATGATATTAATAATGAAGATAATGGCAATGGTAGTCCTGGAGCTGTGAGTGCAGGCCAGCGAGGGAATGGGGAGGGGGAACAATCGTGCTGAAGCATGGTACGGGAGAACTTTGCCTAGTGTGAGTGCCCCCTTAAAGCTGTTTGTTTGAACTTATTGATGTTGTTTCCTCCTCTTTAGATCCTTACTTGTGTTGTACTTACTCTCTGTTGTACGTCCCTTTGGATAAAAGCATCTGCTCAATGAATTGTCGAATTGTAGAATTATCTAATGCCCCACTTCCACTGTGCTCTCAAGGTTTCTACCAATATATTTCAAGCCGTACAGCCTGGAATATCCTGCAAATCTACTGCACCCTCAGCTTTCACTGTCACTGTCAGTCAGTTATCTGAGGCAGTAATGTGCATTAAAGGCAGTATTATTTTGATCAAGTTAACACAATATTTGATGTCAGGATAAGGAGAAGTCTGTTCTTTTGTTCCTTCAGAGGGACAGCAGAGCTTAAAACAGCACTGACCCAAAATGTATTTCTCTGATTAAATTCTTCAGAAGAACAACCCAGGCTTCTCTTCTCGTTGGTTAATGCATCACATTCAACAACAACTGTCTATAACTGAGACCAATAACTTCTCAGAAGTGTATAGTGGTAGGGAGCCTTTTTTGCCCTCAAGGTGTGCGGTTCGATGAGTTTGTGATGTCATGTGAAAGCTTTGAATACTGACCTTTATTCCAGCAGTTTCTTATTCCGATACCAGTTTTACTCCCTGATAAATATTAGAATTCTCGACTTTCTTTAACGTCTGACAGCGAGAAACCAACACAAGATTTACATACAAATAAAAGCCCATTTATGCTTGTGTTATAATTGCTGTCATTTTAACATTGCCTTATTTAGACAATGAATGAAAGAGAACTTTCTTTTTATGTTTGACAGTCAGTCAAAATGAATAGAAATGAGTCTTAAAATAACATTTAGATGGGTGAGATTCATTTCAGTTTTGAGAGTCAAACTTTGGAACAGCTTTAGTGATGAGTAGAAATTGTGTAGTTCTCTGCAGAGTTTGAAAAAAACTGAAAAATGAATTAATGAATACAACATAAAATGATAAATAATTTAGACACAATTTAGAGTTGATCTGCTGTTGGTTTTATCTTTGTTGTACTGCTGATGTTCTGGGTTATATTAAGGACTTAAAGGATAAGCTGAAATAAGCCTTGGGCTTCAACCGATTCCTTTTTTGGTCATTGTTTGAATTTTATTCTTTGAAATGTAAACATGTTTTATCTACGAGTGGAATACTCACACACATGTTTGGGACTTTTTTTTTTACTTTGAAATGAATTACAAAAATATTAATTTACTCATTAATTTCCTTTGAATGAATGAATGAATGAATGAATGAATATTTAGTTTTCATGTCTGCTCTTTACATGACTCATACCTCATTAGATTATTCAGAGATACATTTTGAATAAACCAAATTGCATTCAGCCAAATTCAAACAGCACAGTACAATTACATCATCAAGTAAACATACTCACTCTAACATTTTAACTGTAATTACACTGTCCAACATTTCATTTATTTTATGCTGATTTTATCCAGCGTTGTTTTTTAAAATGTTGATTGTTGTAAAGTGTCCTTGTGTGTCTTGAAAGGCGCTTATAAATACAATTTATTATTATTATTATTATTATTACATAAACTACCCTTTAAATAATAGGTAAGAAACAACAAATATATCAACTACCAACACACCCCCCTCAATACAAGATCCACTACTCGGATCCAGACAAATCAAAATGAATGAATAAATGTTTTAATGAATCATTTCCAAACAGTTTATTTGATTCAGTTCATAAACCAACAAACTGCATAACAAACAAAGTCTAAGAAAGTGATCTGTTATAAGTTACTTTTCTCCTTCTTTCCAAAGCTTTAAAAAGAAATTCAGACAAAGCAAAACCATAATCAGACAAGTGATCCATTGAAGGACTGTTCTTCATATGAATTCAATCTTCATATGAAGACTGTTCTTCATATGAATTCAATTTAAAACAATGTTTGAAATAATATTTCTCATAAATGATGACATAGTGGACAGTATAACATCAAACGCCTTCATTAAGCTCACAGTATTCACAGTCATGATCAGCCGAACCTACTTTAAAAAACAATATGTTCTCAGTTTTGGCTTCTGCCAGATTTCCTTTTCCCCATAATTTTCTTCACCTAACCAGAACAAGTGCATACTTTTGTACAAAAAATGTGTAATGTTGGCTCTTCTGAAATCTTCCCATATCCCAATACTGACACAGCTTTATAGATGATTCAGCTCCTGCAAAAAGGAACTCTGGGATAACAAATGATTGAAGTATACTAGCATAAAGACAAGCAGAGCACCTTCAAGCAAGCTAAGCTTACATTACAGACGCTAAGCTTACAGCCCCTCTTGATGTTTTGTCTCTGCTGAAGCTTTGGAGAAACATCAACCATCAACCAATGACATCCAAGGGAGGAAATGTTTTGACCTTAAAGGAGGAGAACTAAGGCCCAGCGGAGTTCTTCAAACTACTGAGCAATAGGAATGCTACTACAGTGAATTTAGAAACAGAGAGCTTTCACTAGCATCATCCTCATCAAGTTTGTGAAAGACTTGTTGGACTGTTGTTGCAATAGATTATTTAGTTAGGAGGCTCTACACACACACATGCATGCAAGCAGACCTACTAAAAGCATGTGACCCCTCCACAACACAGACTTACACATACACAACCACCCCACACACACTCTTATCCTAGACATGTCGGTTTTGTACCTTCAGGCTCGTGTTGGGAGTGGAACGTGGTTCTCTGGCGGCCGAGGCGGCATCACTGCGTCCGTTCCCCTGCGTGCGTCCTTGCTCAGCTCCCATCCTCCAGGGTTGTCTCTGTGTCTCCTTAGCAGAACTCTCCCACGTAATGCAATTTCTTGGCACAGATGCATGCAACCCTGCAAATGGATAATTCAAGCATGTGACCTACTTCTCATCATCAGCACAAACACAGAAACATGTCTGCAGCAGCAGCCGGCAGAGGGGGGACTGACACAGGACCACTTGAACCCTGTAAGAGATCTCAACACTTGAGATCTCTTACAGAGAGGAGTCAATTTGGAGTCAATTTGGAGTCAATTTGGCAAAGATCCAGGCGATGTTTGCACTTTTTTTCTGACAAAAACAATGAAGCATAAACCCCTGTTCAGAAATGTACTGAAATCACAATCCTCATCCTTAAAGCCTTATTGCACTGTTCATTTGCTTGAACTTTTCTGTCAAATTCAGTTGCTTTTGAGAGTGAAACAACTCACTGTATGTGTGAACAAAGGTTTATGACCAGGCTTAAACGTAGTGCTGCCCTTAAAAAGCCCCCTCAAAGCAAAGTGGGTGTTTGTATTAATTTATCTTATAAGTCCAAGCCACTGTTTACTTTTTTCCCAACACCTCTACACCTGCTGCTTATAAGGCTGGAGGAATGCGAGAATTTGGATCACTTAACTCGTGGACGTGTCGCTGAGCCAGGACTTGTCTTGCACGGAACTTCTTGCAACCTCCATTACCTCTGAGTATCTATTTTTGACTCTTAGACAGGTGCGAGCAATGTAAATATTTATGTTTGATATAAAGAAGTATATACATAAGGAAAATGGCTACTGTGTTTGGCACATACTAAGGAACTGAGTTTGGAAAGAAAATGCAACAATGGTTGGACGGTGTTCAGGCTCTCTGGACCATTCACATTTAAATCTACAGGTGTTCCTTGATGTGTCAGTCTACCTAACGCATACATTTGCCAGCAGGACATTCCGGAGCTGAGCTAAACTATTCTGTTTCCATGCAGTGTTTGTGACCAGAGGCAAAGCATGATTGTGCCACTTTCAACTGAGCTGAGTTATATTGACTTCATGGTCAACAGAGTGACTCAAACAAAGGAAAAGGGCATTACATAATACTACATATGCTTACAACTCTGGGTTTTATAGCTTATGTGTGTAAACAAGGAGTTGCAGTTGCTTCCATTGATTCCATTTTTATGTCTGACTCAATCCAGGTAAATAGAAACCTCACTGTTTGAGGACCTGATCCCACATGTTGCTACTATACGTCTTAAATGCTTTTTGCAGACGTCATTTGAGCAAAAGCAAAATCGACACTTCTTGATAGCAGGTGCATCACTTTAAAGGCGTTCACTGGTCTTTTCTCTACTAAGTTATATTTTTCAGGTGTATTCAATTATTCAAGTTTTCCTTAAATTTACACAAGGTTTTTTTGTGTTGTTTCATTAATTTAATACTGTGAAAGTACATAATTGCTGAATAATTAAAAAGGGCCTTGAAAAGTAAGTTACTGCGCATTAACAGGTCACGCTTGGGTTTTTTTTAGTTTTTTTTACAGTGAAGCAGCTGCAGAGAGTGTTATGTGAGTCATTGAGGTCGGCCACCAACTGAAGTTACAGTAAATTTGTAAAATACTCAGAATGAATCCTTTAGACCACAGTGTTGTTCTTACGAAGCGTAGTGTAGCTAAGTGGTACATTTACTGGTAATAAAGCGAACAACACAATCTGCTAAGAATTGATGTGTCTACTGAGAAGAACAGATTATTGATGTGCTCATTTTCACTCCTACTGTTCACTTCATTTCACTCTTACTGACCTCTTTCTCTCTCTTTCTATGGATTCTTTCTTCCTAACCACTCAGATTGGTTTATTCCATGTATTTCCCCCTCCTCCCCCCCTCAGTTCATTTCCAGTAGTCATGTGAAACAGTGGATGTAATTGCTCGGGGGGGGGGGGGGGGACTGTGTTTGTGATAGCTTTGCAGCAAAGATACCGACACCATCACCTTTTCTTTCATTGATACTTCTGCTGCTAAGGCCACATGTAACAAGTCTGCAATGTCTCCCTGAATGATTTTTCTGTCTAGAAGACGAAAGCAGACCAAAGGAGCTGCCTAATCGCAACAGGTTTGACCCACATTCATGGAATTAGACCAAAGGCAGCTTTAAGTGGCCAATATGAAGCAGAAGTCCATTCAAGAAGCAGACAAAAAGAAGTCATTGGAGCCTCTTTCTCTATGTATCAATTGCCAATTAATCTGACTATTATGTAAGGTCTGGTAACGAACATTTTTAAAACAGCAGAGTGGAATTGGCTAATATAGCTATTTGCCCATCAGTTCAATAGCATGGCTTGTTTCTAGCAAAATTCAAGCAGTACATGAAAAAAATACTTTTTTACAGCAAGAAAAATATTTTCAAGATGAATTAAGTTTAAGATTTAAGGTGCAAACTAACAAGAGGACCACTTTGATTTGTTTTACCATATCACGTTCACAAAGAATAAATAGCCATGCTTGTACGAACATGTAGACTACCGTTCTCATGCTACATAATCTTTTACTCTTATAGAATTATAGGAATATTTTTGAGGAATTAAATGGACACATTCATGTTAAAAATAGCAACATAGTAACTGTATCTAAGGATGATGAAAGGCTTTGTGTAGATTGATGTCCTGTCGAGAGAGAGAGAGAGAGAGAGAGAGAGAGAGAGAGAGAGAGAGAGCCAATAGGAAACACAACAACAACATAACAAGTCGTCCCTGAACAGTATCATTAGTATTGAAGTATTGGTCTATCTTTACTCGTTTCATGCAGAAAAAACTAACGTATCCTATCCAATAACCAACAAAAATATAATTGATTTTGTGATCGAATCTAAGCACCTGCTGACTTCCAATTGAAAAAATATAATAAATGATATAATTTATCATTTCCGCTGTATGTTTTTTTTTTTCCAAAGAAGTGGCCTTTAAAGGCTGCTTGTAATCAATGAATACAAATGTCACATACACTGGATAAACAAGCATTGTGTATGAACGACACAGGTCGTCTTAAAATAAATAAATGTAAGAAATTACTATTGTGAAGTTGTTCTTGTCACAAGTTCAATAAAACACCAAATGCAACTTATTTAATTCTGAGCACTTGACCCAACATCTAGGCCCACTGTTGCTCACCTTCTTCAGAACTGATTTTATTTTCTACATTAGGCTACCTTTCCTTAAATATACCATAAAAGCATTTTGCTATCCATTAATGTTGCTGATTGAAACATTTTTTGAGCCATTTATTCACTTGAGTCTTAACCTGCGTATTAAGAATGATGAATATAAGAAAAAAACTAAATCAGAAAAGTGGTTTTCAGTAGCCTATTTAACCAAACGAAAAGGATACTTTGTGTATCTAAAAATGTATAAAATATCTCACAGGCTTAACTACTCAAAGGTCAAGACGCTCATTCAACACACATTAGTCCGGAATGTCACTTTCATTTATAGGGAGTGATGGGCATGAATGGAAAAAGAAAAAAAGACCAAAAAATGGATTAAAGCACCTCAAATAGAGAAGAAGGTCCAACACAATTTAGAAACAGCTTAATAAATGTCTGGTTGACGTTTGGGCTGAATAGAGGTACTCTGTTATTCTGCTGTGTTTTGAGATCATTCCAATTATCTCTTAACACTACAGTGTTACTGACACCATCTTTAATGAGCTTTACACATTTGCTTTGACTTCTAATTAGAATGACAGCCAACTTTGATTTACATGGTCTAGTAACAGCAAAAGCCAACTCACCCCTCTATCTGTAGGTGTAGCCTATTAAAAGCTACAAAGCTAAAACAGAAACCCACTTTGAATTAGTTTAAAAGTGTTCCAAGGTGACTGACATATGGAAACAAATGCAGCCTGTAAAGAGAGGTGAGAATAACAAAAACAGGTTGTTAATTAGACCCTTTAAGCAATCTGATAGTAGGATAGGATAGGATAGTACTTTATTGATCCCCAGAGGGGAAATTCGGGCGTTACAGCAGCACAGACAAGAAAGCTCAAAAATACACATTAAACAGAATAGATAAGATAAATAAAAATAAAAAATAAAAAATAAAAAATAAAAATAAAAACAGGGGGTATATACAGTACAAAATGAATGATGAGCTTAGAATGACAAGATAAAGTGACTTGGTATGATAAATAGCAGCAAGTAATGTAAACAGCAGAGAAGAGAGGCAGTGTTGTACCACAGTAATGCAGAGTGCAGTTATATAATGTAATGTAGTATAATATAATATAGTGCAATATGAACAATATAGTGTAATATAATGAAATGTTATATAGTATAGACTAGTATAATAATATAATAAAAATATATAGAATGTACAGTATATATGTACATATATATTGATGCTAAATAATATGCTATGTAAAGTAAACACAATCCTTTATTCTACAAAAGTGATGTGCTGGGAAACCCCTTTAGCAGGTTGAAAATTATGTGTAGATGCTGACGCTGCTTTCAGGCTCCTCAGCCTTGGTGCCCCTCAGGTAGCCTAAAGCTAGGGTCATGCGGAGCACAGTCACCCATACGGATTTATGAACATAAGCCGCTCATACAAGGGTGTATTTTTTTAGCTAGCCTATGTGTCTAATGAAAAATAACGCTTCTTTTTCGTCTTAAATTAAGTGCTAAGGTGTCTAAACACGGGTACCCTTAGGAGGTTGCCTAATATTCTCAGGCTAGGTCAAGTTGTGGCGACGTCACACCTATGTCACACAAAAATAAGCATGCTCACTTTCATCATTAAAAACACTCTTATTCTGTAATATCAAGCAAAAAGCCTCAGCATTTAAGGTAACCTAAATAAAAAAAATAAAAGGCACCACTTACCCCAGTGTCTTGTGAAACTGTCTCCGACTGTTCGAGCCCCAACAATTAAACAGCCAATTGGAAACACAGGTGACCTCCTTTCAGCCCTCTCCGGTTAAACTTCTCACGTGGATGGGAAAGGAAGGAAAGAAGAAGCGCCGACTCTTATCATGAATACTCCGAGACGGACATGTACCTTCAGAGTTCATTTCCAGCCGACTTCACGGTGACTCTTCGGGGCAGACTAGTCCAAATCAAGAAGGGATATTTATCTCCTGAATCATGTCTCGACCGGTTGGTGGAAATCTGCAGTGAGGAGCCGCTCGGAGAAGTGGTGCGTTCAAGTGACCCCGCTGTTACTGCACACCCTGGAGAGAGAGAGAGAGGGGGCGAGAGAGAGAGAGAGAGAGAGGCTTTGGCTAAACAAACTCACAAAGAAAGACGTCTGTCTTAATCTGAAGCTCTCTCTCTCTCTCTCTCTCTCTCTCTCGCTCCTCTCTCTCTCTCTTTCCCCCTCCCTCTCTCTCTCTCTCTCTCCCTCTCCCTCTCTCTCTCCCTCTCCTTCTCTCTCTCTCTCCCTCTCTCTCTCTCTCCCTCCCCCTCTCTCTAAACTCTCAAAAGTGTACTGATCCCATATTTGTTTCCCTTTTACATAATTTGATCACTGAGCCTCCTCTGTGTATGCCCGTCTTAATCTCTGAGTCATGGTCACTCATTCTGGGTTTTTTTTTCTTTTCTTTTTTTGCACTGAGTTGTAATTCCTGATTTGGTTAATTTGGAGATGATAATACTGTGTCCTTGTTCATAAAAGAGAAAATGTATTATGCTCAAGCCACATTTACAGTAGCCTATACTGGCACATGATGATGTTACAAGTTAAAAAAGGATTCTTTACAAGTCAGCATCGAGGTCAATTGGCAGGATTTTATTGCTTAAGTGGGATGACCTTTCACTAGTTTAATTACAGCTGTTGTCTGTTTTTGTGAAGAAACAGACTACCGAGTAGAGGGTAAAGAAGTGGGCAAGGCTACACCGTGATTGTCAAGTTACTACAGTTACATTTTGAATCTGGATAGGCGTAACCAAGATGGCGATGCCAAACTTTAGGCTTGGGAAGGGTAGTGCATAAACCATCTGCTGATGTCACAGTTGCTACGTCCACTTCTTACAGTAAAGTCTTTGATCACTATCTGGGTGGGTCGCGTGGAAGTCTGTCAAATAGAAACATTAGAGAGACCTTGGTGCTCCTGTCTTTAACCTAAGCTCACACAGTAATGCAGACATCCTTGACCTATCTACATAGGACAAAAAGAAAATCCCTTGAGTTGAGATCTGGTTACACGTTGTGTTTTGAAGCACCTGCCTTTGCTTTGTTTCTGCTCTCATTCTGGTTTCCCCCTGACATCTGTCAACCATACTTACCTTTTATTCCTTTATTTCACAGTACTACAAAAGCAGACTTAACATAAAATAATTATGAAGTACGTATATTGTTGGTCTAATTGAATTTAATTTTTTGGTCTAATTAATTGGACCTTCTTTTGGATCCTAGTCCCGATTATGACCAACTGTTGTTGTTTCTGTCCAGCCTTTTCTTTATCGAAGGAAGGAGTCAGTGAAAGTGAGCCTCTTAAGCTGTGCACTGCAGTTTAACAACAGTCAAATGATTGGGCCAGTCTAGGGCAAAAACATATCAGAGATGTTGGAAATGCTGTTCTTGCTGAAGCAAAGGACACGTTCTCTTGCTCAGAGTCGTTGCACTCTTCTCTAAAGGTCTTTATTTGGTTATTATTGGGACGAGACGACCTGAAGTCTCAAATGTTGTTTTTTTTTCCACCTGTTGGCTACAATTCATTTTTTAAATTCTGAGCCACTTTTTTGCATCCCATTGGCCCATTTATAAGTTTCAGTGTCATGTGATTAGATATGGATTACATCTTATTGCTGATATCATATGACAAACCCATAGCTGTTTTACATTTATTTAGATATCATTCTTCTTCACTGTACATTGCATGTTTTCAGTTGCTCATCACACTTAATGGTTCAAGTGTAATTAACGGCTGACATAATGTTACGGTGAAGGCAGTCGCATGGAAATAAAAAGGTATGACCTATGTAACAATTACAGAACTACAGTGGAAAAAAAGGTTAGAATGTCAAATGTTCATCAGATATTATCAGTGAAACATAAAACATCATGAAACTTTTGTATTCTTATGGGAGAGGATGTTGGAAGTTCATCATTGGTTGTACTTGCTTTGCTGTAGTCTGTGCAATGTTTGTCTGACAATGCTGAATGAATTTAGTGCTAACTAAAAGCCTGGATGATTTTGTTTTTGGCTGATGTAAATGGTAAAGCTAAAACTTAAAATATTGATATGCTTATAATTTGTGGTCAATTATTGTAGATGCAAATTCAGTTTATAGCTCAATTTTCTTTGTGTCATCCTGTTTGCATTTTTCTGAACCTGTGACAACAAATGTGTTCACACTTCCAGAAAGGCTGCCTGTCTTCCATGTGGGAAGTTTACATGTTCTTTGTGTGTTCAGGCTTTTCTCTCGTGTTCTAGTCAAATGTTAGTTAGGTGGCGTACACTCTATGAACAGCCTGTCTGTTTTTTTTCTTCTCTTTGATAGACTGACTTATGCACAGTGGATCTGCTACATTCCCCTTTGACTGACAGTTTTTTATTCAAATACACTAAGCTCTCTGTTTTTGCTGCCACTCACAGCCGCTTTTAGAATGTGTGGAATACTGCTACTGTTTTGCTCTTGGCTATACTTCCCTCACACATTTTGTGTGAAGAGGATATGTAACCACACGCTTTAGCCAAGCAGAAAATAGATAAAGCATCAAACAGCATTATTTATTTCAAAGCATATGCCCACATACTGTCTGACTCCAACTAAATTAGCCAAAATCTGACACTAGAAATTACAAATTGTCTAGGATAACAACTGAAAAAAATCTCCCAAGATTAGTGTGAAAGATGGCCACAGAACAAGACAGGACACATTTGCAGCATTAATAAATCTTATTATTCAACAATATTCACATTACAACATCAACACTGCTCTGCTAGTGACATGTTTTTAATAATCCCAATATATTGTATAGTTACTTTGTAATACATTATTGAGAGGCACTTCCAGTAAGTCTGGCAATAAAGGAGCTACAGTATTGTGTCTAAATTACAAAACAGTAAAAATAAATATTTTTCTAAAAGTTTTTTTTTTTTTGTCATAATATACTCTAGAATCTGTACAGTATATATTTTTTTTATACAAAGTCAAACAATATCTAGAAATAAAATGTCATATTCCACTTGAACAAATACTGGTGAGTCACATGATTTCTCCATCCTGTAGGTATTGCTACATGTGTTAAGTGCAAGATACTGGAGAGGAGAAAAGAATGGAGTCTGTGTAGCATCTGCTATAGTAGACAAAAACATACCAGCTTTGTTTTTCTTGCTTTTAAGGTGGTGAAAAAAAAAACATGTTTGTTTTGGTTTCCCTTGTGAAGAAGAAGAAAAGCTGATGCCTATAGCGTTCAAACAATGTACAGTATACATACATACATGTGAAAATGGTATGGCACAGGAGCATAGCCTACCTTTTAGAACGGCTGTAACAACAAACAATACAAAAAAGGAATGTTTTTGGTTTAAACCATCAAAAGAAAGTACAAGGGCTTCAGTCTGAGAACAGAACAGCTCTATTGTAGTGCTACTGTGGCCTATTGACAAGGCATTGAAATAAAAACAGACAGTTAAGATGTGAGAAACTCCCTTTTCGTCTGGTAGATGAATGCTAACAGATTTTTGATGTTGCTTTAATCCACCCTGTATTCACACAAGAAATGCTACAAAGTATGTGCATATCCAGACATCCTCATGGAATCTCAATAACAAGAAACATGCTCAGTTTAGGGATCATTTTTTGTGCAAATCACAACAAAAATAAAAACAAAGTTTCTTTGGTTTGCACAAGTTAAACCAGTGTGCAACAATCCCTTACTTTAAAACCACTGGAAAAAAACACAGAAACTCGCTTGGTTAAACCGGCATTATTAAGTTGTAGACCCTGTACTTGAGTTGTTTCGTGCCTGATTTTATTTTTTTACACAAAGATATTGTAAAACAAGATTAGCAGCCATGAGATTGTCGATGTGGACTCAGAACAAAATGGAAAAATAACTGAGCTTCGATGCTTTGGTGGCCAAGAATTATTACCCTTACATCAGGATGATAAAAAAATTTGTCAAAAAGATTCCTGTCATTGAGAGCAGGCAGATAGTTGATACTACCTGCGACTATAAAAGGGCAATACTATAATCTTAACCCCTCTGAAAATACTTTTATTTCTTTGCAGACCTCCCATGGTTTGACTTCTCCTCTGGCTTCAGTTATGTACAAGTGTACTCTATGATGTGTCTGTACACAGTGACATCACTGATGGGCGTGGTTACAGGTGCAACAACTAAAACATCTGTCTACTCCCTGATGTTGCAAGTCAAAGGTAAAAGAAATGGCTCTGAAAAAAACTAAGTTAAACTTAGACTAAGTTAAAGTTAGGGGATCATACAAGAAGTTTTTTCTGATTTTTCTCACACCACTTTTATGAATCAGTCAAATAAATGAAGAGTGACCATGTTGCAAAACATTGTTGTTTGTTTCACTAATATCAATGTGGCTTATTAACTCTCCAGTCTTGCATTGGTTGTCACTAATTTACACACACAATAACAAATCTGTGCAACCTCTTGGTATTGATTTGAGTTGTGTATACCACCCAACCAATAAGATCGGCCTTAATTGTAGCAGGTAGCAGTGATGTTGTAAAGTGATGCAGTGCCGTTTTAAAATTAACCTTCACCCAATTCATGCAACGCAGATAAAAAAAACGCAGATTTATGTGAACTTTGATGATCTAATATATGTACAAATAGTTGCTTTATAGTGAAGAAGAATAGCAGAAACAAATGGTGTATCTTGGGCAGAAAACAACTATCTAAAAAAGTCCTTAACTGAAAAGCCTACATTATTCATTACAGACAAAATGATGCGTAATTGAGAAGAAAAATCTCGCAAAAATGCTGTAATGGTCCTTTAATTTTACGGAAATACTGAAACCTGGTTATGTAAAGTCTGACGGCGGAAACTTGTCCAGAGGACCAATTTCATTTGTCATACTGAAAACCCCTACAGGTTGAACAAACGCACAGAAGCCGGAACGTTTTGGACTGCTTACAACATCACAGCCTTGATAACGTCCTTTTGATTGGTGCACTGTAGAGATCACAGTTAGCGAGGCAGGGGAGTTTAGACATGGGAAGCATCAATTCCGCCCGATTCAAGCAAGAAATTATTCCAGAGATAAGAGTAGAAGCATGGGATATTACAAGTGTGAGATATTAAAGAAAGAATCAGTTGCATTAGTATGCATGTTTAGATTTGATGTGAGGCAGGGATATACTGTATTTACAGTGCATGGAGCACAAGCTCATTCACGTGTGCTCAAATAACTGCTGTTTAGAGGAGGCTTGATTACAGTCACGGTTACTTTTAGAATAACCCTGATTTGAAAGCTACGTCACTGAACAAAAGCTTCAAAAAATTCTCGACTTAAAGTCCGCAGTCAATGGCCAACATGACCGACGGATGTGTGGATCAGTTGTTTAGGAGCTGGTGTTCACAGATCCATGGTTAAATGCTACAGGTAGCCATGACAAGCCAGTGCAAGGAGAGGCTGTTGGAAGACATTTGGTCGAGCAGGTCTCATCGAACTGCCTTGCGGAGTTCGATACAAAAAAACTGCTGCCATTTGTGTTGAAAGGTAAGACACACATCGTTTCTGGGGTCAGATATCGCTCTCCCCTTTTCCTTTTTTTCTATTTCTGTGTAACCCCCCCCCCCTCCCCCTCCACCCCTCTTCCAGAGAATCATGTTACTTAAACATTACGTTGCATGACAGATTATGAAGCAAAATCCAATTCCAATAAAAATATCAGACTTTGAACACCTATTAAGAGCGCTCAGCTTGAACTGAACACGAACAATAAGCTCAGAGTTTGGTTAGCACAGGCATTCTTATTCATAGCAGTAAAAACAACCGCTGCACCCTTTTGTAAGCACAGGGAATAAGCAATCAGCGCTGCACAGTTCAGCCCTCCTTTGCACAATGGGCATTTTGATAACAGTGCAATGGATACAGCGGAGGATTTAGACAGCATTAGGGTTATCAAAACTCTAATTGAGTTGAGAAAATTGGGTCACAGTAGGGCAAGTTCTGCCACTAAAAACTTTGTGTCTGAAAACAAGCCTGTTAAATAGATTGTTTAGTCTGTTTTCATCCAGCGTTTGTTAATTGTGCCAATTGGACAGGTTGCATAATGTGTTTAGGGTCATTAGTGGATGTTTGTTCTTCTATTTTACTCTCATTTTGATTGCTGTTTTCTTGTCAGTTGGCAGTTACCCTCCCTGAAAAGTTTTTTTTTTTCCCAGCATAGGTTAAATTAGAGATAGAGATCAACCTTGTCCCAGGAAGTCACGTGGAATTTGTCTGATTTCTATTTTGTTTCTCAATCTTAAAGGTGACTTGATGAACCCCAACACTTCCAGGCCTTTCTTTTCAGATCAAGTTTCCCTCAGCTGATCTGTTGAGTGATAGTGCAACCATAATGTAACAGATGATACATTTCCACTTTAGAGACAGTGAAGTGTATCATAGATTCCAAACATGCTGCAAACCTTGAGTAAAATATTTAATCAATGGTTCCTAAGTACCCCCTTACAAGTAGTGCTGACAAGACTCAAAAAAGATGTTTTTGGTTGTACAAAAAATGTGCCCATGTTCACTATGCTGTTGGGCACAAAGAACCTGCTACAGATCAGTAAGTGGAGACAAAAACATTGTTAAATCTCTGAATGAAATTCCCCCGAGCACCCGGGAAGCTCCTCCATTGTCAGATCAAATACACTGTACTGCATATCCCTTTAGTACTCATAAACGTAGACCATCATATGATTTTGAATCGGACCGAACATGGCTCATCTTCAAAGGGATACCTCTAGAGGAATCTGCGGAAATCTGGGAAAAAGATATGAGACCTCTCTGACCTTTCATATGCAGCTTCAAGTCGAGCTAAAAGGCTTTTCGCGCTCCTCCTTCTTCTTTCATTACTAAGCCTCATTACGACAGCTGTTCTGCTTGTTCACGCTTCCCTTCATTACCACCCATCTAAATCTAGGCGGACATCAAAGGAGAGAAACGACACTACCTGTTAGCTGTACGCTAGATTATTAGTAAGAACTACTAATGGAGGGAAAAAAAACATTGGCCATGAGTCTCCTTTCAATGGAATAAGATTTAAATAGAACTTTCAACAGGGATTTTTGTTTTACTTTTATAAAAATCATTCTGCCTATTTTATTAGCTCGGAATTGAGGATTTACTACAGTGAATTCAAGAAAAAGAAGAATTTCGGACAGTGTCACAGAGGATTACAGACAGCAGAATTTAAGATTATGAGGCTTGCACTTGATTAACTCTAAATCTGACTAATTGAGGCGCTGCTTTAGCTCAGTCGGTAGAGCAGGCGCCCCATGTACAGAGGCTACTGGTCACGGGTCTGACTCCCGATCCTGATGCTGTTTGGTGCATGTCATCCCCCATTCTTTCTCCTCACATTCCCACATGTGCCCCCCCCCCCATAGGTAACCCCATATATAAGTTCTCATTATACATTTCTGATGTTTTTCGGTGTTTTTCAAACACAAGTTAGGTTCCATGGCTCAAAAATGTTTTTAGTTTCTAATAAATTGTTCTACATTTTTATGCAACAAATTAGATTCTGTTTGATTTCATTTGGATCTGGAGGTGGAAGTGGGCACTTTAAAATGTTGCATTGATGTAAATCCTCTTGGGGGATCGTGAGCTGTGAGTCAGCACTGGCCCGAGCCACTGTGGCTTACTGGATTACTTTTTGAAACATGTGGCCTACATACCAGGTCATTATTTAAAACGCATAAAAGAAAAAAAAAAAAGCAACTTCATTACAGTTAAAAAAAAATTAGCGAGCAAGCTGGGAGGTTACATATACAAGCGATATTAACTTAACAAAACACATCACCTTATTACCAAGTTTTGTGTCTTGCAAGTTGTTTTCTTCCTGGAATAAACGCTACTCTTGGTTATAGCAACTGAGTGAGACAAAGCCATACAAAATTGTGGTATACAGTATAGTGTCATCAATAATCTTGTTTCACGTGAGTTTCCCTTCACACAGAACCACATGTCTCTGTGGATGTCATTAAGTCAATACTGTCTTGAACAGCACAGACACAAGATCAAGCGTCGAGTAAAGGGACAAGGACCCTGCAAGTCTGTTTTGTTCCCCTTTTTTCTACAGTTTTGTACCTTCCTGAGTTGTGTGGCCTGGAAACGTGTAGGTGTGCTGGACTGGATTCTAGTTACAAAAGACTAAGAGAAAATATGCAACTAAAGTTAGACATTGTTTGACATGAACAAAACCTTGTATTGTATGTTTTTCCTTCAGTGAGAATTAAGCTTTTAGAGCAACAGGGTTCTTTGTTTAACTTCCTATCTGTTCTGAAAATGGAATGTGTCTCTACTGTACTGTAGTAGACTGTGTGTTTGTGTGTGAAGCTTGTGTGGGTGCATGTCTGTATACACAATGTACAACAACTGGCCCTTTTTCCCTCTCCCTGTGAAATCCACATGGCTGAGCCTCAGTGGACACAGCTTTTTCCCTGGCTTTCATCCCATTGTCTTCAAGGAAAAGGGGCTTGTTGCGCATCCTTAACCAGCTGGGTGTCTCCACAGTGCGCTGACAGCATGGGAGTAACGAAAAAAAAGGTGGGGGCATTGGGCCTCGTGACAGTGTATTACTCACTGGTGGAGTGAATCTGTGAATGAAGCGAGGTTGGCCCATAGTGCAGCATGGGCAGCCTGGGAGAGGGCAGGGCACCAGATCCAGACTGAAACCAACACAACAACAAATAAACAAATACAGTCCCAATCACTCACTTTTTTTCTTATTCTTTCGCAGTCACTTCATCATCTGCTCATCTCTACTTTCTCTCCTTGTCAGATGAACTGGGCATGCATCATCCCTGTCCTCAAACCCAGGTTTTGTTAGGCACATATTACCCAAAACATCGTCTACAGTGTTGTGTCAAAGTGATGTGCTGGCTACCATATCAAGAGTTTAGTTAGAAAAGCAACATTTTTAGACAACGTACAGAATACTGGTTGAAGAGAAGGTTCATAATATCACTCTGGTTCCCCTTCTATATCCCCTGAAGTCTCTGATTGCAGAGGGATTTCTTCATCGTCTCCAGTCGGCACTTCTTCCCTGTCGTCAAAGCCTTCAGGTGACTCCTCCTCTTTGCTTGCTTGCTCTTCCTCTTCCTCATGAATGGCTGTGATTGGATCAGTCGTGCTGCTGATGCAGTTCTCCTCTGTCTCTGCCTCCTCGGTTTCTGCAGCTATGACCCTCTTCCACATTTCATGGTTTTCCAGAAGATGCTGTGTGATCTGGCAAAACACTTTTCTTCTGCTCACCTGTATTGTTTCTTGCCGCTCTGTAAGACACAAAGCCAAAAGTTAGAGAAGCTACTGAGTGAGCTACTCAGTTCATCATTTTTCTTGCTAAAGGGATGGATGAAAGGATTGATAGCTCTCTCATATATGTATATTTGTTTGATCATACAGCCTGGAGATTGTTAGCTTAGCTTGGCACAAAAAAGTAGAAACAGGGGAAAATGGCTTGATTGACCTAGTCTAAAGTTTTAATCAAGGCCCACTAGCAGATTTTTTCTTAGGCTCCATCAGGGCAAAAAAATTAAGCTGGAAGTGAACTATACTGCAGTTCTTTGAGTGGCCATTAAAGGCACTATATATGATGATAACCTGTTAAAGAAAGTATTTCTGTCTACTTAGCTATTTTCTTCATTCATGTTTACTGTACTAGGTAGGTTAATTTTTATATTTTAAAAAAATCGTGTTTGAAATATATTGCGGTTAACTTTTTGCAAATTTGGTAAAAATCAAGTATAACACAATGTAACTGTTAACTAACCTGTCCATGCTTGGAGGCTGCAGATTTACTATGTTCATGTAAAATAGCTTTCTGTTGGAGACACTGTCTGACTAGCCGATTAGCCAGCTAATGAACTAGCCTTGGGATAGACTGTACAGCTCTGATAACTTAGCTGATCACTTGTCTATCACTTGCAACCTTCTGGCTCCTCCAGCCTGTCCAAATGTTCTCACTATATGCTTAAACAAAAAACAACATGGCATGGTCCATGATTTCAAACTAAAGGCTTCATAATAGCAGGTCAAAAACGGTGGCCAAAATAAGTATGGCTAGGTCCACTTTTTGTACAGTCTATGATAAACATTTAAAAGGAAATCTAACAGCAAAACGTTTTGGTTTCTTGGAGGTTATGTGACAACTATTCCTTTGCATTTCTTTTGATGTAACAACACTACCACAGTTTACTAACAAGCTGCAACAGAAAGTCTCCGAAAATATGTCCTTTCCAGCCCTCAATTATTATTTTTATTTTTTTTGCAACAGCATCATTTAAAGAATTTGACATACGGGAGGTTTCAGAACTTGTTGATGCGTCCTCATCTGCCACTTCCTCCTCTTCTTCCTCTATTTCTTGTCCTTCCTTCATCTCCTCTAGCTCCATCTCTCCCTCAGGTTGGTCCACCCAACGTCCCGGCATGAGAGCAGCAGAGTCGTAGGAAGAGCACAGAGGTCCCACTATGTGAGTGATGAATGACTCCTGCAGTTTTGCGAGCTGTGGAGCAGACCGGTCCATGAATGGGCTGATGGGAAGGCCCAGACTAGCCTCTTCGTCACCCTAGTGAGGTACAGACATGGCAAGTAATGTCAGAAGCACATAATTGATGAAATGGAAATTAATAATTGGATTTGTTAATTAATAATTCGATTTCGAGAAAGAGAGATAATTTAACATTATACCTAAACAAAAAAAGCCTTAATGACTTCTATGTGAATGAAAGAATCATACAATCGCTGCAATGTACTGGACATTAGTGTTTGAGATTTCACAATATGTAATACATTCAAAGTTTGTGATTTCTCTGTTGAAAATACCTTTGTGTACAACAATGATCCACTGTGAGCCAAAGAGGAACACAGCTGTTATGTCTGTCATCCTAGGTGTTTGTCATTTATGCCATGCGGTGTTCTCATTAACAACTAAATGTAGATATTTCATTGACAGCCAGGATGATTAGAATATCATATTTGCATGTATAGTGCTCATTGCATTCAATGTGTCACACTACTGTAACCTCGAAATACTCTACTCTTCACTGACAGAAAAATATGTTTCTATACTGGTAGAAAGAAAAAAGACAGAATTTAGGAACCTAGTTTATTTCAATCAATCAATCAATCAATCAATCAATCAATCAATCAATCAATCAATCAATCAATCTTTATTTCTAAAGCGCCAGTTCATAACAGTTCTTTTTTTTTAATTGCCAAGACCATTTCTTGACAATAAAGATGGCTCAGTGTGGCTTTGTTTGTGTTGTTTTTACAGTGTTGTATGTTACAAAGCATGTGTTGTAGTTCCACACATTGTGACAGTGATGTATTTCATGTTTGTTATCCAAAGGTGGCAGGGGCTCACATTGCTATGGTAACCTGAGACCTGGATGGCATCAGAGCACTGTATTAGAGGTCCATGCAAGAGGTTTGTGTGTGTGTGTGTGTGTGTGTGTGTGTGTGTGTGTGTGTGTGTGTGTGTGTGTGTGTGTGTGTGTGTGTGTGTGTGTGTGTGTGTGTGTGTGTGTGTGTGTTTGTGTGTGTTTACAGTATGTGTCAAGGATGACCAATTATAGGTCTCCCCTCTAACGGCAAAACACCCTTCTCACCATTGCAGCCCTCAGAGCCGCAATGAGGAGTGAACAGAAGGTTGGAGAGGAATAGCAAAAACAGATCACAGGAAGGATGTCTTTCTCAGATTTTCACACAGCTAAGATCAGAAAGGTGGAGTCATTTGGTAGCCATTGACCCATTAAAGATGACGTGGAAATTCAAAAACTTTAAAAATGTAATCTGATTATTATTGAGTAACTCTTATGTCTACCACCTTGAATGTATTTTAATATTTAAAAATAATAATCTTATCTTTCTAAAGACTAAAACCGGAGTTCCACAGGGTTCTGATTTTGGACCACTTTTCCTCAGTTTATACATAATTAATCTACCACATGTCTTGAAGCACATGTTCAGTGTATGCAGGTGATACAGTCATGTTTGTATCTAGTAGAAGCACTTGGACAGTTGCACACAGCTTTAGTATCATTACCTCTCCATACTTAGACTCTCCATACTCCATACTCTCCATACTCCATACTTAGACGTGCAATATATTTATCTGTATAGTAATTTTATTCATAGTTTTTCTTTTTATATCTATTTATATCTGCACCTTATTTTTATTTTTTATATGTAAATACATGCTGCTGTTTTTATCCTGCACTACAACGAGCCAAATGCAACGAAATTTCGTTCTTATCTGCACTGTAAAGCACAAGTTTGAATGACAATAAAGAGAGTCTAAGTCTAAGTCTAAGTCTAAGTTAGAGAACTCATGTGAGGAGAAAGACATGGACACTGCTTAATGCCACTCCTAACATAAACAGAACTATTTCATACAAATCAATCTTAAAAGCCTTGTCATTTTCTAAAAATGGAATAATGAGGCGACGCCTGCCAGCTAGTTCAGGCAGTCAACTCGAGCTGCACTGATTTCACACTTGACATGCGTCATTGTACACAAGCACCTGACAACACCTCCTTCCAATTAGCGGCCTCTCCATCTACACTTTCTTTGTCAGCTCTGACCTGCACCAGCACTGCACTCTTGCTCAGCCCAACTACCATGATAAGATATCATCCCATCACTCCTCAAATGTCTGCATGTAAAATTAAACTTCAAGGAGTTATTAGTTCGGAGCCTAGACGCATAACACAAACTATGTACTGCTGCTGCGATAAATATTTTAAACAAACACAAATGTGAGTTGTCTGACATACATTACATGGATGCAAAAAGCAAACTTACATACTCGTACACTTAAGACTAATTTCTGTCTACTATTTCCAACTGTAAATAGTTCAATCTTTCTATGCTCTTTCACATTAAAGTAAATTTAACGTCCTGGTCACAAGCCAACCATATTTCCCTTTTTATTCTTTGGCTTTTTGTTGTAGATTTTGTGCGTCTTTATAGTCCAGAGGGCATGCATTGCAAATTAGCTTATGTGCATAGTGTGTGGCATTGGTTAGCAAGCTAATTATTTGTTCCTAAACAAACAAACAGCAAATTATAATTGTTTTGCTTTTTTAAACAATTTCCAGATAGCTGCTAATTATGTCAATTCAACTCTTACTGTTAAAACAAAACAAATGCCATAAGAGGACACTGCTTGACAATGAAACCCTGTGATTACCAACTTGCACACTAGGATTTTTCATTGAAGAAGTAATAATGCTACAGAGAAAAGGTCTTTTCATCATTGGCTTCATTGCGGTGCATAAAAAAGCCAGAGTTATGGCCTTGTAAGTCTCGAATCTGAGATTGTATTCTTACAACAGGACATTGCTAGGCATAAGTAATCACATCTATCTGGCTGATCTTCCTTGAGTTGCTCAGTACTGACTGTACTGACCAATGAGAAGCTTTGTAAGTTAAGTCCGGGATTTGTTGCCAAGCGTCCCTTTGCTGTAGTCTTTAATATAATCAAGAGCTAGTAGGTAATGGTTTTGACTATTCTAGAGGAGCTTCTAGTTGCACACATAAAACATGACTGTAGGGCCCTTGAGCAGGAAACTTAACCCCCCCATCATCTGCAGAGAAGCTGTCATTAAGTCAACCCTGAAATGACCTCGACCAGGATGAAGGCGAGCAAGAAGAAAATAATAATGTGAGTATTTTGCTTATTGTCAGACAAATCCAAACAAACCATACCCACACAATCACACTCATACTCAATAGTAACAAGAGATGTCTTATTATTGTTTTGACTGACTTTAAAGGTTTGAGGGGCTTGAAATTGAGACTTTGAATGGGGACACACTCTTCCCTTCATATGCAATTAAATGCACATTTATGTATTTGTGTATACTTGGGGTGTTTGTAGCTACAGCTTTACTTGCTTTGGTTTGTCTGTTTGCATACGGTTCTTTCCATTGGCCATTTTGTTGTAGATCTGCTACACCTTTTTTTTTTTTGGATTACATGTCATCCTGTAATCACTGGTCAAAGTGACTGAAGTTCAAGAGTAAATATGTTATTTTCAATGTCAATTCATAGACATGTATAAAAAATTAATATTTTTTGAAGTTTTACGATTTTTCACTTCTGCCAGCGACCTTTTTTTGCACATTTTTGTATTTTTTTTTTTATTTACCTTGTAAAGTAAGCTCTCAGGGGCTTTCAGTCTAACTACTAAAAGCTGTGAAGAGGGATGTGTTCTTCCCTTTGCCTTTGTAAGAGTGCTTTGATAAGCATACTTGTTCGTAGAACTCGTTGACGATCCCCTCGGTCCACTGCAGGTGCAGCTCCTTACACTTCAGCGGTCCATTGACATCGGCCAGCTTGATGCACATTTGACACACCAGCATCCGATCGTTTTCATTGGTCCAATCAATCCCTGACACTCCTTCATCACCCACCTTGGGAGATATGCACAGGAAGATTTGTGTACAAATTGAGAAGAAAAAAAACACAGATCTGGATTGTAAAAAGAAACTTCTACTGATTTGTGAACAACCTCAAGAAATATATGAAAGAGCTATATTTATTTCAGAGGCTGAGGAGAAAATAATTTGGATGTATTATGGACAATGAGTTGTGTCTCTTCAAACACGATTGTTTACCTTTGCATTAAACTCTGCGAGGAAGTCAAAGTGTTTTTTGAGGTCCGTGGCCAGGATGGCTTCAATGACGAGGAAGCGGAAGCGCTTGAACTCAACGTGTTCGAGGTTAACCAGGAAGTTGTACTCGGGTCGAGACATGAAGAGGTTCCACGCTGCGGCTGCATGATGATTTTCCAAAACTGAACGGTCATTGTACAGAAGAGCCTACAGTGGGTGAGATAGAGGAAAAAACGTGACACCAAGGTCCAATCATATCATGTCACAGCTCTGCTTGGATTCCTTGTCTCCTTCTAGCATCTTTGCGTTGTTTTGGGAATATGTTCTTTTAGTGATCCACTCGTGTATTTTGATTTGTTGGCTGGAACAACAGCTGTGGTGACATAAACTGTAAATTCAGACATTTAATGACATGTTTCGCCCTTGGTTTTGTACTATTTTAAAGCGTTCCAATTAACACCCTGTATATTGGATCAAGGTATCTAAACCACACTGTTGTATTGAACTTTGCTTCAAATTTGCACAATTATTTCACTGTTATACTGCCTCCATTGCAGGCAGGTGTTTGGAAAAGTTTATCATAACGTTTTCATAAAAGTTTATCATTTATGAGCTTTGTTAGTCAGATGAGTAAACTTAGATATTTCCCATATTTTCATAAATAAATAGATTTATCTGGCTGACAGGAATATAAGTAGAAGCATCTGGTTACTTGATTATGATGACAAAAAAAAAACGACAAATGCTTCATAAAGCTAGTTTCCTTTGCATTCTAATATCAAGTGTAAATGTTATTTATTATAAATCCGTCCAAACTCTCTGTCAATCCATTCCAACAGTTCATTGTGAGTTACACCTCCACTTATTTACCTGTGGTGCACTTGTAGCTACTAGGAAGGCGTTGGTTCTTCCAGGATGGTCATAATCGTGCATGGCAGCAGCTACATACAGGGCCATGAGCTCCAGGCCCGGGATGAGGCCTGCCAGTGAGCCATTGCCTTCATTCTGCACAGAGTTCATCTTAGACAGTAGGCAGCCTGTGGCACCAGGGGATACGCCATTCTCTGAGTCTATGAGAAGCAAGATAATACAGCTCATGCCTCAGTCACTAATGATGCTCTTTGCTCAAACGATGCCACAGTTGTAATTCATGGTCAGAGTTTTAACCCTTGAAAACCAACACATACATGATTTACAACACTCCAGCCAATCAGATGTCGTCAAAGTCTTAATGTGGCAATGGAATAAAGAGATTTGTCAAGTAAGAGGGAACATTTTTAACATACTACTGGTACATAGACCTGCATGTATTAAAAGTCCTCCTCACCAGTGTGTATCCCATTCTCAGTTGGCAGGGTGGGCAGGCCGGGCACAGGCTGAGTGGTGAGGTACCAGACAGCATGCAGCACATCAGTGGCGTGGATCCGGTTGTGATCTGGGAAGAGGGATATAAAATTGGTAAATCAACAGTGGGAGAGCACCCAGACAGCTGTGATGAAATCCTAGCTGAAGCATTTTGAAACATGAGTAACAATTAAAAACACCAAAAAAACAAATGCACGCTGAGAATCTGGATCACTGCAGAAGTGTTGCATTTCTGCCTTGTGGAGTGGGTTGATCATATGGGTCAGTGTATGTTGACTGATGCTTAGAAGGAAAACAAGATGGAAAGAGACAATGATCCCCTGATAGCCCCAAGTTATACATAAAAACCATGAAGCTGTTTTCTTGTTCTTGAGGAAGAGCAGCTTTGTCATTCTGGCATTACACCAGTTTACAAACATTACTTATAAGACTTGAAGCCTGGATAAATCTTCAGAAACCAACCCCAACTCTGTTTGGGTCTAATCTAATCTCTTCTGTTGCACTGTACGAGATATTTGATGAAAAATAACACACTGAATACGGTGCTGTATCTTTTACTCTGTTTGTAGAAAGTTGACATACAAAGAAAAAAGAAGTATACCTGGTAATAAAAACAATAAAAGTGGTTGTAATGGTCACAGAATGAAAAATAAATATTAAAATAAAATGATTACTTCATTGAAAATCTATGATTTATTTTATAAATAGCACTATCTTACTTTAGTTTAATACTGTTAAGGATTTTAGATGTTTGTAAATGAAATCTTAAAGAGTGCATAATATCTGAACATTTTCAGTCTCACCTTGAAATAATAACATGACACGATGTTTCTCATGATCATCATCTTAAACTTAACAAACCTACCCATTTGTCAATATTGTGCTGCAGAGTACAAAGGTAGACAACAGTGTTTCCTTTCATTTGACAAAGCAACACATCCCCCTTGTGGCAGAAAGAGATACTGCTGGGTATGAATAATTCACTTGAACAATTTAATAAATACAGACATGTACTCACAAGGGATGACCCTGTACCCGTTCTCCAAAGCCTGGAAGTAGTTCATGAACTCTTGTACAGGAATTCTGAATGTTTCAAAAAGACCCGTGTCTTCAAAGAGCCGATAGGAAACCTAGGACACACATGAACCTTTTACATCGAATCTTTGAACTCATGATGTGTTTTTAGAAAGGAAAATCACACGGGATGAAACATTTGCTCACTCGTTGGCGTTTACCTGACTGAGGATGCAGCCTGTCTTGCCGTGTGTTTTTTCTACAAGACTGAAAATGGGAAAGTTCCAATTGTTGAGTTGACTCATGAGAGGCTCCAGATCGAGCCTCATCAGAGGCTCCAGCGCCAAGACTGGTTTGTCCTGTCAGACAAAGATCAGGTCACAGAGTCAAAGTGAGGGGGATAAGGACCAATACATGCAGGTACAGTAAAATAACCCATATGTCCAGCGTTTAGGATAAACATTATGGACGTTATTTCTAAAGCATTTGCAAATAACTGTCAATATGACGTATTTGATCTTATTGTGAAATAACGTATTACCTGCTTGGCTTGTTTAAATGGATTTAAAGAACTACACAAACATTGATAGATACCTGAGACTTTCCTTTTGCTACTATTTTTGATCCTGTCTCATGGCCTACCTCTGGTGATGGCAGGAGTGGGTGAAGAACGATGCCCTCGGACAGATAGTCCCTGCATCCTTCCCTCGCTTCAGGGGGCTTCTTGCCTCCCTCTCCCTCCTCCTCATTCTGTGCAAAGTCGCTGCTGTCACTGTGGTTGGTCTCGTAAGTGCTGTCGTAGGTGCTGTCATAGTCTGAAGATGCTACAGCGCGCTCATCTGGTAAGATATTACACATGTTAAGACATTTACAGTAACTTTAGATATATATTCATGAGGTTGAATCTCTTGTGAATTTTATACACACATCCTTCTTTCACACTGACATCCTCGATTTCCGTTCATCTTTATGTACTGCTCTGAGGACACAGGCATTTAGAATGAATAAATAAAAGTAGAAAGAACTGACAGTTTGTGTCAATCTTGACGACCCTGAAGATAAAGCGATATCTCATTGTCTTTGCCAATTATTTCCTGTGCTTGTGTACACAGTTTTCTTTTTAACTTTTCTATGTATCGCCTCATTTGACACTTACCCCGTGGCAGCAACTGCAAGTATTAAACATAATTACATAGGAATAATCAATCCTGTCAATGATGGTCTCATTCGTTTTTTTGTAGGTCACAAAGAGAAAGAAATTAGTGTTAATTTTGGTGTGTTTTGTAACCAGCTAAAAGCTCCTCACAGGAGCTTTAACAAACTATGTCATACGGATAAAATGTTTTTTTGCATAGAATTCTTGAGGTCAACTCACATAGATTTATTTTTTGTTTATGAAATAACATTTACTCTGAATTACTTTAGCTTGGTCTCAGCTGTTGATCAGGGCTGTAGATCGCAGTTTTGGGTTGACCCAGGAATATTTTGTAATTTACATTTGGACCACATCATTCTTAAATTAGAGAATGGCTGTTCTACCTTATCGCTAATGGAAATCATGTATATGACCAACAGTTTTTTTAACACTTCATATTCACCTCTCAGGAGCATTTTTTATGTTAAATCCAAATGTTTCCATCTCATCTGGAGGGATATGTCTTAAAGAAACGCTCGTTGGTTGTTTACCTGGATGGGGTATTCTGTCTCCTTTGTCCACAGATTCTACCCCGTGATTTAGCCGGTTGTTGAACGGTCTGCCGCAGCTGAAAACAGAAAGACACAAACACAAAAGACCGGTTATTTCAAATTTATTATTATCGTCTATGTTTTATAACTACGGCTGTCAAACAATTTACATTTTTAATTGAGATCAATCTCTAAATGTCAATAGTTAATCGTTAAATTAAATTAAATTTAGAATTTCCTATATTTCACATTTTAAAAGAAATTAGAATTGTATTTTGAAATGTTGTACTGTCTAAAGCTGAAAGTACTTTTCATGCTGTTTGAATGCAACCCTACTTTTATTCTGAAATAAAGTAAGGACCCTCAGGTAGATTGAAGGTTAAGATTTTATCTTAACTTTGGAAAGAGGAACTCGATGCAGATCAAAAACTAAATGAAAACAGCTGGAAGGAATGTTAAAATAGTTCAATAACGATGTTATGAAGTGGATATTACTTTTAACACGTTAACTGAGACGACAAAAGTGTTTTAAAGTGAAATGAGCAATTTTTTACAAGATGCAGCAGTGTCGTTCTTTTCCATCACTGTGACAACAGGGAGACTCTGCGATTAAAAAGTAATGCATTCATTTCAGACCTTAATTAATCATGATTAACTGGTTAATGCTGATAGCCCTATTTAAAACTAAAAACTTCTCCTCCCCTATAGATGAAATGACTAATTTCCCATTGAATAAACTCTTACACCATTGAAACAGAACAGAGGAAAGAACCTAGTGCATGTTTGCATGTTTGCATGTTTGTTACCTGCCACAAAGTGAAGGAGGCCGCCAGTGAGGGGTGGTAGAGCTCGGGGCACTCTGGCTGTGAGTTAAAGCTCTATGGTGACTCTTGGGGACCACAGGGCCAGGGGTCCGCTCTATCAGGGGCCCCACGGGCTCAGGAAGCTGCACGGAACACGACTTTGCGGTGGGGCTGGAAACCGGAGTCCCCTGTGCTGGCGGGGACGGGCACGGAGAGCCCAGAGGTGACACGTTGGAGGGGGGGAAACCTGGAAAAAAGATCAGTGCATGCTCTAATTATTTCCACATACACAACTCAAGTGTTTTTAGTATCGGTGATTGAACGCACGTTCATACCTGGTCTTCCCAGTGGTTTGCTGTAGATGTGGTTGGAGGTGACGGAGGCAGCATAGGAGGCAGACATGGAGCGAGTCTTTGAGATTGTCATCATCATCGAGTTTTTCCATGTTTCACTGATTTCATGCAAAGAAAAAGAATCACATTATTCAAAGTTAATATGTATTCATTTTTATTCGCTTTATTAATCCCGAGGTAAATTACACGTTTAACTCTAATGTTGTGTCTTCCTGTTTTGTGTATGTTTTTATATTATTCCTTAATAAGAGTGAATTACCTCTCTGTGGTGTGTTTGATGCTGGCCGAGCGGTCCCTACGTACAGGCCCGGGCTCGATGGTTGGCAGCCCTGTAGCTGAGGTGGTCGTGGTCCAAGTTGAAGATATTCTCCGAAGCAATCCCGGCGGCAGACTCCGCCTTAGACGCTATGATGCAGATAAACAAACATATCACACAAACTAATCTGTGGTTTTCCAGCCACAGATGAGGTAAGAAACAAAACATTAGAGCTCATACGTACAGGGCAGAGTCTGTAAATGGACAGGGTTTTCAGTGAAAGAAACAAACTAATTATTGCATTTTATTGCAAACTTTTTAAAAATGTAAAACTATCCAGCCATGCCTGTGTGTTTGTATCATAACGATATGTTGTTATACAGGGCATTTTTTTTCTAGACTCCAGCTAGTATTGATGAAACTCTTGTTGAAAAATGTTTATATGTCTTAACAATTCAACATTTGAGTGATGCCCTGCGCTTGAGCTGTAAATCAATACAGTATGAGCATGTTTTGCATTAATGTCTACTATCTTAATTGCTGTATTGCACATCTGCTCCAGTTCCTTCATAAAATGCGTTAAGATATCTTGCCACATTTGAACTCCACATATACACAATTTTACACATACTCAACACAAAAGTAGTAAAATGCGAGGTTTCAGCCAAAAGCACATCTTTTAAATAAAGAGTGAAGTTTTCTTTCAAAGCAACTTGAGCTTCCTTTTGTCCTCCATCAAAGTAAGTAAAGACATCGGACGAGAAAGATGCCATATTTGTTCTTCCAGCCAACACTTGTTGGAGGAAAAGCAGATGGAAGACAAAAGTGGTAAGTAGAAAGGAGTCACGCTTGTGTTTCCCCTGTGGTGTCAATCTTTCCAAAGATGTAAATGTTGTTGTTCAGCCATGAGCTATGTTCTGACAGTTATTTGTCAGAATGTATATTTGTACAGCAGATGTATTTTTTCTAAAAGGGCAGCTCTCTCTCTCTCTCTCTCTCACATACACACACACACACACACACACACACAGGGCAGCAGGGAATCATTTGTCACATATTCCTGAGAAAAATCCTCCAGCCCTTGTTGTTGTATATTCCATTTTTTGGTAAATAACAACAACAATGAACACACATACACTCAAACACACACATAGAGGGCAGCAGTGGATCAAATTTAGAATAGCCCTAAGGAAAAACCATCAATCCCTTTTTTTCTTTTGGAAAATAACTGCACACACACGTGTACACACATGATCCATTATTGCCATCTAAACACACACACAACTCAGCAGTGGTATACATCTCTCCAGCAGTGAAGGAAAGCTTATCAAAGATCTCAAATTGTGTGTTAAACTGTAACACAGTAACGGGGGGGGAATGCAATTTGGTGATCATTCATTGCCGTTGCAAATATTGCAACAGCAACATTACTGCATGCTTTTCCAAGCTTCCCCTAAAAAGGAAAAACACAGCCACCAATGTGCCTTATAACCTTTGTGTAACTGCCACCTCTGTTCTTGCTGTGGAGCACATGTTACGTTTGAAACGAGACATCAATTTGAACCTTTTTCTACATGCAGAGGAACAAATCTCACGTTAGTCAAATCGAGGCAGCATCTCATCCGAGTTCCACTACATCAATGGAGCATTTGAGTGCACTCACACAGCATTAAAGCTGCTTGTCACTTTCCTGGTAGCCTGTCCCTGCATTGCATCACACGCTTTACTTAGTTTCCTTGCCGCCTAAAGTGCCTGCTGCATACATTCCGAAGCACTGGCCTTGTAAAACATTAAAAAGCTCTCTGGAAGATTGTGCGTCATTGTTTGCTACATTAGAGCTCAACGCTGTGCCAGCAGTGAGGGGAGAAACAAAGGTGATGAATGTAGGGAGAGTCACAGAGTCACACCTGGGTATTTAGAGCAGCATAGAAAAAACTTCACTTTGATGCTGCTGGTTCTTGCATCTTAATCACTTGTTTAGACTCAGCTTAATGTACTGATTATGATAATTGGCCTCAAACGGGAAACTTTTTTTTTATTTAGTAGGAAATCCATCGCATTGAAAATCGGAGCTGTTTTCAGGTCATGGGGAGTTCTGTTGAATTCATAGCATTTAGTCACATGGCTGGCCATTGAACATTCTGTGGATCTGCAGCTCGAGCTTGTTCATTTACTATCTCTCCTCTGTTTCTCGATGGATGTTTATAGATATTGTGATAAAAAGGTACATTTGTGGTATTTGCGACCCTTTAGAGCAGTCACAACCAAGGCCGCCCATAAGAGGGAATAAAGGGGAGGGGCACAGTCACGTGAGGGAGGGCATTTTCCACCCTAACTTTAAGCAGCAATTTTATTTGACACCTAAATCCTCACCATCAATTCTTAAGGAGACACAAACACACATTTCATGCAAACTGTACCCTGTTTCAAAAGTTTATCCACCTGAGTGCTAGTTAGCTAAGATTAGCTAGTAATGTGACCTAAGGTTAGTATCAGGATCACCGTTAGCTGTCAAGGGCATGATGTTAGCTAAGCGGCAATAATACTTTGCTCAAGTTAGAACAATATTTCAAGGCAGGATTAGTAGAAGTTCGTTCTTCTGTTCCCTAAGGAGCAGCGGACCGCAGCATTAATCCACAATCTCCTCCTCTCTGGGTTTTCTTTCTTAGATGGAATTCTGTAAATTACAACGCGGGCACACACAAACATAATTAACCTTTGGTATGGCCAGTCTCTCTGCTTTCTCCGGCCCCTCCTCTGAGTCAGAGCAGGTGTGCGTGTCTGCAGGAAGGCGTGGCCGGTGGAGCGGTTGGAGGCTGATCTGGGTGCTGAGGAGGTTGCTGACGGCCTTCAGAGACGTGCAGGTGTTCGGGGGCAGTGAGGGGTCGGCCAGCAGGTCTGAGATCAAACCGTGGGCCTCACCCATCACCGCAATGTCCACGATCACACTGGTGCCAGAGGACTGTCGGGGGGGGGAAGCCAGAGAAAGATGGGAAGAGAAAGAGAATGTGATAAAGGTAATTTGTCTCGTCTTTTCTGATGTAATGCAATGATAGTAAAGTGAACAAACGTCACACCACACTGACGTAGGCCGCCTTTCAGTCTCTGTACCTGAAAGAGGAAGAGGATGTGTCTGTGTCAGTGTGTAGACTGTTTGTCTAAACCTGTCTTTATACTGAACACAAAATTGACAGTCCCAGAGTGAACAGAGTATAACATCCTCTCCGTTCTTGTACTGTGCATTCTGTCAAGAGCTTGCTCTAGTAATGTGACAGTCTAAAAATGTGACTGATTACCAAGCTAGCAAAAATGATGCTGTAATTTTCTACTGTTGTGGAGCAGACTGTGAGTCATAGAACATTTCCCCTGTCGACTGCTGATCAACAACTTAAAGACGAATGATAGAGGAAACCTGGAGGCAAATGCAGCCACATTTCAAGTTAAAACATAGGTAATAAATGAATCGGCTACAGTCAAGATTAAAGCTAATGCTGACATTTAACTTCCGCCTCACAAACTTACTTTTTGATAGTCTGATAAAATGTTAATGGATTCATTCATTCAACAATTATTTATGCATTCCCCTCATTCTCAATGATGTCGAGAGTTCATCAAAACTGTACAGTACATGTTCACAAACAGAATAAATGCCAGGAATGGCAACAACACAAATAGAAACGGTTACATTCAAAGGCGGAGTAGTTCAAAATCATTTTTAGTTTTAAAATGTCCCATAGGAACAAGTGTGTGAAGTTTAAATGTCTGTTGCAAAGTGATCCGGATGTGAACGCAGCATAGAAGCTAAAAGCAGTTTTACCGAAGGAGTTGTTCGCCCGAGGCTTTTGAGCATCAGAAAATAACTGGAACGTGTTAATTATGAGACTGGTAAATAAAGAAGTGATATATGTTGAAGGCTTAATAAATAAATTAAAAAACGGTGCCTGTTAGTTAGCAGTGCCCAGTCCAGTTTTTACAAACAAATGAAAAGCTGTGTGGAGTAACAGTCACCTGTAATGAACCTGAGGGCGGAGGGATTCATGCGGTTTAAGGGGGTAAGCGTGGATGCAAAGGCGATCTCACCATAATCAAAAACATGATCCGTTTTCGGCTGACCACTAGGAAATTAGATTTGGTTTCGTTAGAGGCGTCCATTTTCTTGATGTAATTTGCTGGCCGGTGTATCGATGTGGAATTTAAATGTACATTTTGTGATCTAGCCAGACACCAAAATATTTGTATTCTGAGACTCTTTCGATGTTGTGTCCTGTCAGAATGGTGATGCGCAAAACTCTGATCTGCAATGTCTCTGGCTCTAGAATATAACAATAATACAGTATTCTGTAAAAAAAAGAAAATAAATTGCGTGCAGTATAGACAGCTAGCTAATGTTAATGCCAGCTAGCTAGAAGTAATGTTTACAGGCCAATGTTGGGGGGGGGGGGCTTTGAGGTGGTTATATGCTGACATTAGCTGTAGCTGGAAGGTAATCAAAGATGTTGATTTAACTAACAAGTAGTAAAATGTCCATCCCGATTTTTAAACAGCCTGACAAAGTAAAACTTTAACCTTTATTTGGTTGCCTGTGTTTTAATGATTTGCAATCCCAGCACTATAAAAACAGATAGACAACAATAGCATTAAAACAGCACTCAACATGCCATCCAGTCCTGCCTAATTTTGAGCTTCCATCGATCAACATATTTATTGATGAACGCAAAGGGATCATCGTGTCAAAGGTCAACCATCTGTGCCTCAGTAATGGATTCCACAGATAATGTCAACGTATGCTAATCAGCTCCTCTTTAGCTTTTAATCAATTTACACCAGTCTGAAACCTTATCCCCAAACACACACACACACACGTATCTGTATACAGCAGCCTATACTGTATAAGTGCATGCATGGGAAAAAATTGCTTCTGTTCTAAGCCAAGTCTTAGACTTACCGGTAGTTTATTCAAAAAGCTTCTGACAAAGCAATCATGGAAAACAGTGCAACAGTAAAGAAAGTTTGCCGTAGAATTTCCTATTTCGAAGTATGGGAAAACTTTTTAAAATCTATATAAACAAGTGAAACATGAATGCCATAATTTAGTAAATAGAAGAAGAATTTTTGGAATCGTTAACTCCAAAGAAACAAGAAAGCAGCTGGGCCTACGTCAGGTACCAAGGTCAGAGTGTGGATAAAATACTTTTAATGGTAAAGTATGTCACATTAAGAAAATGACAAGAATTTGGAATGAATTCACTGGGCCTTTTTTGGGGAGTGGTAAAAAGAATTTTCGGCTTAATTGAAAGGTGATTAAATACATTAACATATATTACATAAAGATTTAATATGTAAAGATGGGATGAGAAAAGGGGATAAAACAAAAAAAAATGGAGGAAAGGACCAGCAAAAGAAAATGTTCTTCCTAAGACATGTTGAGGACGAATTAAAAAATGTTTATTACTTAAAATAAAAATAATCTGAATTGGAATTTTTGAAGAGTTTATGACGGAAATCCTGATCAGGTGAATCCAGACATCCAAAACTGGTCTTTGTTTTCCAAACATTAGTCTCATCTCTTCCTCCTGCATCCCTCCTCCTCCCAGTGTATGGACACATGAAGCGAATGGACTCACGTGATCGCCATGTCCGTGAGACTTCACTCTTCCATCTGCCTGCCCCCCCTGAGGCTATACTGTGCAAGGAAAACTGGCAGCAAACTCTGCTCTTACCACTCTGCTTGAATCTGTGCCTAACTTTTTCACTTGGGCTGTGATTTCATGCAGTGATTTTTTAAAAACCTGAGCTTGGGAGTTGGCTTGATTTACACTTTTTTTTTCCACCACTACTCACTCGTGCTTGTAGGTTAAATCAAAGATACAGCTTTTTCTCTTGCTCGTCTGTAGTAAAGCTCAATCCTCTGTGAAAAAAACTCTATTGGGCTGGGGGGACATTGAAAGCATCAAAAGCAGAACCAGCCTGCTGAATTGAACAAAGTGACAGATGATGCTCATAATCTGTTTTCTTAGTCAGATTGTATTAACTCTTCAAACATGTCAGAGATCAGCTGATGTGATGAGTAAATGCATCAAACAGATAGGAAGATAGTTTCCTGGAAGAGCGCGCGGTTGTGTGTGTTGGTGTGTGTGTGGGTAAGTGTGCATGTGTCACCTCAACCTGAACAAAACCCATTAGACCACTCCAGAGCTTTATGACATCCTGCTATTGTGACATTCAGCCATTACCTGGCAGTAATGGACTCTGGCTAGCTAATGTCAGGGAGATAAAGGGCGCTCGAATGTGTGTGTGTGTGTGTTTGTGTATGTGTGTTGCAGCTTTTTTTTTTGTATCATGCTTCCCTGTCAGTATATTCAGGATTTCTTAAACCAGCAACTCCATTCAGTCTGTAAGCATTCGAGCTGATGGAGTGCTACAGTACAGAGTGCTTCTTTGGTAGAGACAGCGCAAAAAGGAAAGGCGAGGGAGAAGGTTATCGATCCCTCCCAGCATAAAGGCCCACAGGAGACATCAGGGGGAGCGATGGTCAATGAGTAAATCAACAGTGAACACACACACACACACACACACACACACACACACACACACACACACACAAATGGGCATGCATGTACCAGGACTGCCCCTTACGATCAGTCTGTCAGGCTTTCAGGGTTACACAGAGCAAACTCTGGTCAGAATCAGCCTCAACAAATGCAGTGTAGTTAAGATGAATATTTGTGTATTTATGTGCATTTTTTTTATAATACAAATACAAATAGAAATGATGTATTTAAAACACTCGTCACATCATCAATGCAGAAAGGTACAGACCAATATCCAGTCAGAGTAGAGCTTGGTGCATTTAGGGTTATGGTCACTAAGGCTGTCAAATGATTACATTTTGTAACAGAGATGAGCCCTGATTATCAATAGTTAATATCGCATTTTTTAATCACATGTTTGAAATTCCATTATTGAGCTTTTTCAAAACAGTTTTGTTATGCTTTGTTTTGTACTCCTAAGCAGGAAAAAAAAACACAACAATCAATCATTAAAACAACTTGTTAATAACTTTTGTAATGTGGACTAAATGACACAATCTTGGGCTGCGGATTTTTTAATGGAGGTCTGATGTGAACACATCCTGCTAAAACAACAGTTTCTTATTTAGCTTATTGAAATGTATGCTGAGGAGGTTTGACTAAAATGAAGCCAAATCTCAGGCAGCATGCTGCTTCAATAAAGCCTAACAACAAAATGACCTAATTATATTCCTGATAATAACGAGCATATTCAGATATATAAAATATTCGTATCCATTTCATTATCCATCATATAATCTTTCACTCGAATAATGGACGCAATGCAGAAGAGCCTACTGAAGGCGTCGATGTCCCCATTATTTGTTTTTCTTCTGAAGTTACGTCTGATCACATGAGTTTCTGTGAGATCTCATGTCTGTGAAATACTACTGCAGGTGTGTGGTCTCCGAATCATCTAGTGTGTGCGTTCGGAGGATTATAATGTTAAAAATCGATCAAAGTGTAAGTTGAAACTCTCCTTATTACAGTGGTTTCCCACGTTTTAAAGTTCATTTAAGAGATTTGTAAATTGTCCAGTGTGTAGCCAACTAAAGGGATCAGAAATCTTTTACAGCTTGAAATCCCTTTAATGAGATGGTTTCAAATCTAAATTGATTAAAATCAAATATAAAGGCATTACATTACATGCACTAAACTTAATATGAAGGTTGCCCTCCCTACATTTACCGTAAACAATTTGTTTTAATTTGAATTTGTGTGACTGAGCTTCTCGCACCACTATTCTCTTCAAGCACACATCTATAGCCTCTTTCACACAATCTGCTGTGCCTTGTGTGCAATGTTAATGTCACAGAGGCGTAATGGCAAGGCCAAGTCATTCCACCACAATGCCAAGCATCTGAGATAGTAACACAGGTAAAACAGCATCAGTGTAAAACGATGGAGGCTTCGTGCCTCTCGAGCCTCACAGAGCCGCTACACAATGTTAAATCACAACACTGGGACAACAATATTCCTCGTAGAAAGGTTCAATATGAATGCAGAAAGGTGCAGAGACGAAAAACCCCATTTTGACTGCTCAGGCAAAAAAAAAGAATGACACTGGCTGTTCCCCTTTCTCCTCCCTCATCGTATTTCTTATCTTCTTCTTTTCATATCTGCAGTTTCCCCCCCCCCGCCGCCCCGCCCCCCCCTGCCTCCACCCGTCTCCTGAGAGACAGTCAGAGGATCTGTAGGCAGATCAAGCATAAAGGCAGATGGTGAGTGGAGATATATAGAGGGAGATAAAGAGTGACAGAGAGACAGAGCGAGAGAATGAGAGGAGATGAGTCCACAGGCAGGCCGTGGTTAGTCAAGTGAAAAAGAGAAACCGCTCATTCTAGCAAGGCCAGCTGAGCTCCGACAGAGCCTAACCTATGACGACTGGAAATATAGGACAATACAGTGTCTTCTGCCCACTGTTTCTCCACTACTGAAATGTTTCAAATCTATAGAACGGGCTTCATCAGCAGGAGTAACAAACAGAAGGATGCTTGAGGCCAAGTTCAGGTTAGAGAAAAAAAAGTTGCAATATTTCAGAGAAAAAGTGTGCCATGTTTGCAAGGCTATTAATATAACACATTTAGAGATTGATTTGGTAATGATGATAAGATAAGCATGTGTTTTCAAAGATGAACATACCACCTGAGATGTTTTTTTTTTTTAAAGCCTTGTCTAAGTTGACAATGTGCAAAACTGACAGAAAATCAATAGCTATGAATCTGATTTTTCTTTAGAACTGATTTGCGGGAAAAATGAAAACAACATCATTGTGTTTGAATGAGATAAGAGCCCATATTTATCATAAAGAAGACATGCTGCTTCCTCCAAAACAACACTCATCTGAGAACAATAGTGACACACGAGAGGCTTCTACATCACGCTCTCACATGCGTAATTGACCTAAAAACTGGGCTGTATCAGGAAGCTTAATTTAGACATTGCTTCAAGTTGTCCCATTTAAACCTTCTCATCATTACTAATTAAATTGCTTTCCTCCTTCTGCCCACATGCATGTGCACACCCAGACACGTTCAGGCAAACGGCACATAGAGCAGCATACACTCTTAAGCACAAGTTAAACCAGTACCCAACCTGTTTAGGGAGATGTGTGTTGTCCTGGTGGCGTCCCATGATGCTCGCTGAGTGCCTCCTCTGCATCATTCAGTTTGAAAACAAACCAATCTTGCTATCTAGATTCCTTTGGATGTGATTCAATAGAGTTCTCCCTTTTTTCCCCCCTTCCTATAACTCTATAATCAGTAATAAGAGTCTCAATCCAACTGGCATTTGAATAATGTATCCCAGTAACAAGTCCTCGCCCTCTCCTCTCCTCTGCTCTCCTCCTCTCTGCTGCTCTACTCTCCTCCTCTCCCTCCCTCTGTCCTCTCACCCGCCCCTGACTCTCTATCTGCCAATTGCAAATGTTCCCCAAGAAGACCTACAGCATGCACGCAGAAATCACTTCTATTGAAAATACCTGGTTGCCTGGAGACACGGGGACAAAGATCAAAGCCGGTCGTCTGTGAACCATAAAATAGTTGTACGGTGTTCGTTGGCCACAGCGATACTAACGCCCACAACTTGTCAGGTGTTTCCTGTGATAGAAGGTGATGCCTGACATCCAAGCAGCAAGTAATGTGTGTTATCGGAGCAGGGCTTTCTCCGTCAGGAAACTGAGGAACTTATTGATTCATTAAAGGTAGATCAGGATGGAGGGTTAGCTAAAGCTGTGACTGCATGTACAGGTGGATGTGAATATGTCTGGTGAAAAATCATGCTGGCTTTAAAATGCCTGAATCTTTTGGTGGATAAATAATAATTGATGACAGAATTCCTCAAACATAAACAAATAGACATACATGTTAATGTCTTTCTTTCGAAACCATTACATGCTTATGCCATGCCATTAAATTTGCAGAAAAGGGAAAGTGTGACTCGTGCACCAAGCAGCATCTTGTGCATCAGCTCGATAACACCACCTGTTATTGGGATTAAAAATACTTCATTTTGAACCCCACTAAAAAAGACAGCACCAAGCGAACCATCTGGTAGCGAAGAGAGGTAATGAAAGCCATGAGAGGGGACAGACAGGCCGGCTTGAAATTGATGAAAAGCTGAACAAGACTTTCTTAAACTGCTTTTGGATTCTGATTTTTATATTTTTCTAACCATCCTGAGTGCCTGGACCAGGATTATTTATACTGATGTTTTTTTTGGTCTTAAATTTTCCAACACTTTTTTGAGAATTATTTTATTGAAATCCTGATTGCTGGAATGTTAGCACAACATTCCCAGGGTGTCATCCCACAGTTTGAGAACCACTGAGCTCGGATAATGTGATAAATGACTTCATATGTTTACATTCAGTCCCTGACACCAGTTATGTTGTTCATGTTGCTGATACGGTTGGGAATAACATCGGATTTAGCTAATTTTGTTTGCTAGTTAAGCTTCGGATAAAGTATTACAACAATTTAAGTGACTGTAGCTGCTAGGAAGTAACATTTAAAACAAAAAGTCATCATTTGAACTCAACAATCACAATTAAAATGTGTTTTAAAATCTCATGATGTTTGTTAAATCAATCCATAATAATTAATATCCACTAAAATTACATAATTGTGTAAAAAAGACCCTAATCAATTACGCACTTACTTCCCACTTAGTAACAAGTTTCAGCTACTTAAGATTATTTACTAAAAAGGTATTGGGTCAAAATTGACAGCAAGAAATCTGAAAATGTGAAACTGTAATTTAACGATTTGAAATGTACTTGAATATGTCTCAGTACTCGGTCAAACATTATTCAGCTTAAATGAAAAAAAAGTGATACACACACAATGATGATTGCACTGACCTGGGATCTGCTCAGAGCTCTCTTGTAGTCCCATTCTTGCTGGCACATCATCTGAAGATAAGAACATACAAAACACAATCTTATGTCAGAGATAGGTCCACTTTTAACAGAAATATCCCAGCACAGAATGTCTTTCCCTTCTTCTGTCCCTCCTCCCATCAAACGCAATCTCTCTCTGTCATCGCATCAAAAAAATAAAAGAAGAGCAGATGCTGCCGATGAAGAAGGAGAAGAAAAGAATAAGTCCTTCTAGATGCTGCAGGGCAGATCTACATCCAGCTCACATCACCGCCCCCTACTATCATTTCCACTTTTGTTTAGTGAGAGAAACCTGTTATTCAGTTTCATGGACATACCATGAGTTTCTGAGTGTCTTCCCTTAAATTAAAATACTTATCATCGGCATCTTTAACACGGCAAGGTTAACACATTTCAGTCTCACTCTGCACCGGACACACAAAGATGTTAGAGATGATATAGATAAGTTGGCCGTGAAGGGCATACCATAAATCACATGTAGGTTCAATTAACATGGAATGTGATATGAATATGTGCAGTGACCTACATTGCATGTTAAGAACAGCTTCTCTAGGGGAGGATAAAGGTGAACCACAAATGACTTGATGAGGAACTACAAACTTGTGCCAACTGATATGGACCAATCAAAGACATTTATTTGTATCTGCATATGTTTTCTAATAGGCACTGATATCATTTCAAAAAGCCCACATCAGCTCGGCTTTAATAAAATGAGCTGTGTGTGAAAAAGTTGAGCAATTTTCACTTCAGTGTTTATGACTTTTTTACATGTAAAAAGAGAGGGGTCCACACTCGTGACAGCAGGTTAATTTGGAAGCAATGGGACTTCAGTTCGGGTCCTCAGGATGCTCTTATCTGTTGCATCCCCGTTGTGAGATCAGGACAGATAGAGTGAGTTTGCTTTTGCATAAAAAATAAAGTCTGTCATTGCAGTGCTGTTTAAAAAAAAACACACAACATTAATTATTTCAGTTCCTTGCCTCACAGGGCCTGTCAGCACAACTAAACACAACAGTTGACACAATAAACACCGGCATTTGACCTTGTTAAGATTTCTGTCGCTAGACTTATAAGCATGCACGTCTGAATGTGTGTGCACTGTTTTCATTTGTATAGGTAAAATTCACAACAACAGAAGTCATGTTACTTTACACATAAAGCGTTTCCGAACCAAAGTTATTACAGACCCAGATCCACAACAATGTCAACAAGGAGAAACTTCCCTTTAATAGGCGGAACCTTTGAGCAGAACCAGACTCTTTGGTGGGCAGCCATCATGCCGTCACCGGTATGAGAATATTTATTGTAGTATCTTATAAATCTTTTAAACATCCAGCATATCAAATTCAAACTCCTAATTATCACCTATAAAGCCCTCCATATCCTGCAGTGTTTCCCCTACTATTGTATTAGGGAAAAAAGTCATTTAAGGATACCTTTCCGATAGAAAAGGACAGCTGCCATTAAAAGTAACTCATGAACACCAAGATTCCTTCAAGTGTTTGTGTGTGTGTGTGTGTGTGTGTGTGTGTGTGTGTCTCCCCCCCCACCCACCCACCCCCCTCAAAGCTGTAAACCTAGGGGAAACACTGACCTGGCGCACCCCCTACCCACTGAGCTCCTCCATCGGCTGACACAAACCTCCTGCCCCCCCCCCCCAACCACTAACAAACTCTGTTCTCATCCTCCTTCTCACTGTTTCCTTTTGTTGTTATTCTTTGTTGTGCGTCTTTGAGTACTCAAAAAAGCGCTATAACAGTCTAATCTGTTTTTCTGATTTCTTTAAGTAGAAAACTTGGCAAGAGTATCTGTTCATTCCACATCATGCTACAGGGCTTCATTCATCATCACGGTTGCTTTTATCTAATTACACTCAAAACTTCTTCGCTGTACTGGAAGAAAAATTAATTACTGCAACATTTTTGGGTGGTAGCAGAAAATAAATGATACATTTGATACATTACAAGTGAGTGTGTGTGTGTGTGTGTGTGTGTTGCTTCTGTGTACTGCCCTTGCTGTCACAGTGTGTAGAGACTGATATATAAAATGGCATAAAATGAGCTGACCTGACAGTGCAACTGTCATCCGCTGAAGATGACTTTGCATCTTGAATGACGGATGAGATAATCTGCCTAATACAGCCGATTCATGTTTTATGTGAGCGTCTCGGGATGGGAGGGAGGTTGTTCGGAAGAATAAAAAGCACTGAGATGCTGAATCACACTGAACTCCATGATCAAGTCAAATATTCATACTTGATCTTGAAATGTTGTGTAAACAAGTCGAGAATGAACCATTCTATAAAAAAAATAATGATGTAGAGTCCCTTTTATTCTGCCACCATCTATGCCCAAATTTCAGCTTCAACTAGCCAGTCCTTTTAATCCCCCTCTGTGCTCCACTGTCCCTTGACAGTCTCCATTATTACACTTGTCATGTCAAGACTATGAGAGCCTGGGAAATCACTCAGGCCCAATGTGTTTCTGAGCCAACGTCATTTTCACAGCTCCATCATTCAGTCTTCAACATAGTGCTGGTAATTTCAAACGGAAATTTTTAAAACGGAGCCAGGAGAAGCTTCAGTTTTGATACATTTACTGGAGTGTACGGACAGTGGACCTTATCGCTCCCTGACTCTTAGCCCAACGTCGGGATCTTATGTCATGAAAACTTTCATTTTGAACCCTGTAAGGATGTCACTTAGACATACATAGTGAACGTTTAAAAGGCGATAAAAAAACGACATCTCTGTAACATTCAGTATTGACTTCTACAGGACTGCCTTATATGATTCGGATTGAACGTTTTTGTGACGTCTTTCTTGGACGTTAAAAAGACGTTTAAAAAAGACGTCACAAAAACATTCATTCTGAATCATAAGAAGGTGTCCTTTAGACGTCTGTAATTGTCTTTGAAAAGACGTCTGAAGATGACGTCATGAAAACTTTCAACCCTGTAAGGATGTCACTTGAACGTCAATAGTCGGGATCTGACGTCAATAGTGAACGTTTAAAAGATGATAAATAACGACGCCACTTTAACGTTCAGTATCGACGTCTACAGGACTGCATTAAATGGTTCGGATTGAACGATTTTGTGACATCTTTCTTGGACGTTAAAAAGACGTTTAAAAAAGACGTCATAACAAGACATGAACCCCCTTCACACTGCAGAGGGAGCTCTTTTTGTTGACATGGACAGTGCTGGTGTCAGGGTTTTTGTGGTATACAGAAGTTAGATTTGATCCCTGGGACACTGGGTTATATCCAGACATTTAACATAAATAAAAACCTTAAATCAGAAAGGCTTAAAAATACTATCATGATTTTATAAATATGTACTGTTTTGTCCTTTTTTTAGAAGGAAGTAAACTGAATGCGGTTAGCAATTTGTATCACACGTATGACTCAAGCAGCAGAAATTTGAACATCTTTTTTGTATTTGCTTCATGCAAGAAATATTTAAAATTCAAAGGAGGCTGAATGCCAGCTAGCTGTGGACAAAAAGAAGACTGCATTTTAAAATTAGACAACAGGACACAAAAAGAAAAACACTATAATATGACCGAGCACATTGTGTTTGCTTGGTCACATAACAAACTACATCATCATCAGTGACAAATCATCTTTTGTCCGAGAGGGAAATTACTGATCAGGTACCCCAAATCAATTAAAAATCAAATACATTATACTTTCTTTTTTTCAATTATGAATGAGTTATGTTGATAATGACAGTTACTAAGTTCAAATCCAGTGCTGCATGCCCTTTTTTTCAATCTCATTATAGTAACATGATAAATCCAGAACCAAATGTTCCAGTGTTGTGACCCACTTCTTATTTTTTTAAAACAACAACCTTGAAGCTAAAAATGAAATTACAAATGTCTGACAGCACTCAAGGCCAAGACAAAACAACTTTGTTTTATCCATTGACAAATGCTACTTTAATCCAACACAAGAACAACACAGAAGTACAATGTATCTATGTGTCCTTTTAGCAGTGTATCTGTGTGTAACTATGTATGTTATGATGCACTACAACAAAGCCATCGAAGGGCTAAAGGGATAAAGATCAGCCACACACACACATGCACACGCACTCTAGCACACACACAGAGGCTCAAGCACAGCCAAGTGCACACACATGCAGAAACGTGTGTGGCTCTTCTCTGTTTGTCACGACTCAGACACTCCAGTTCTGAAGAACCATACCAGGCCAGACCAAATCCCCCACCGGCCAGCAAATGTTCTTACTAGATCCCGGCTGAGCCAGGAAAAGAGAAATAACCCAAATATGGAGAGAGAGAGAGAGAGAGAGAGAGGGAGAGAGATGAACACAAATAGAATATTAGAGAACAAGAATGTACAAAAGATAAAGGGATATGATGACAGGGCTACTTATTTACTTTGAGAAGGGCCAGGTTCTTACTTTAAATAAGTAAAACCCCAAAAATTAAACACAAAGTTACAAAATAAAATTATTTATTATTTAAATCCCCTTTGCTTAAACGACCTAGGTATTTTCTCTTAACGGCTACATTTTCAGTTTGAGAGTAATGCTTCTTATTCAAAGATTTTTTTTTTTAATGACTAAAGTGAAAACAACTGGAATAAAGCTTAATATAAAAAACAATAAATCTGAATATAAAAAAATATAAAGCTGAATATAAAAACCTGAGATGGTATTTTACATGCAACCACACCTCTGATCTTTTAAGTAGTGAAAGACATGCCTGAGTCTGTATTAAGAGAGCCCTCGAAAACAACTTTCAGAATTTCATTATGACACATACAACATCCCATATTTGATTAATTTTAAATGCAGTTGACTTATTCCCACAGCATAAAAGTGTTTTATTCATGTTATCAAATTTATTTTCTTAATAATTCGCTTTCAAAATGTATTCAATTTAATGTACATATAGGTGCATTATACAACAATTATTAACCAATATAACACGATGCTACTTGGAGGAACAACCTTTTATGTAATCTTATCTAAAAGGGATACTT